CAATCTTTAACATTCATTAGGATATTCTATATTCTTACAAAAAAAATTGTTAAAATTTATCAAGTTATAAAATTTATCATAGGCGTCGGAACCGGGGGGGCTAGGGGCCGGGGGCTTAGCCCCCTCTCCCCTCACTTTTTTTGCAAATATAGTCATAATAGTATAGGCATTGAAATTGGGGTTTACCTTTTTAGATGGTTTAGCCCTCCCCTTTACATTTTGCTTCCGACTCCTTTGTTTATTTCAAAACACCTTTAAACAAATATGTAATACATTTTTAATTGCAAGTTTGCACACCCACCACCTTGAAAAACGATGTTTTAATTGTTTCGATCTGATTTTACAATTGTTTTTAAAATGTCTCAAAAGATAACATTACCATATTTTGTGATAACTGCAATTCCAGTGATATATCAGGCTCCTAAAATGAGGAGGGGTTCTGATTAAAGAGTCAAGTCTTTTGCTGTAGTTTTTATACTGAAATTCGCATTTCAATGCTGTATACCCTGCCCCTCTCCACTTTTCGTTGCTGTTAGATGACAAACGGGGAAATTCCAACAACTCAGATAGTGTGGGATATTTGGCCACCTATAGCCACTTCATTCTTTTGAAATCCTTGTTACTGGCCTGAGTAGAATACCCCGGACCATCAGGTATTTCGCACAAATGAGTGCATGGTACATGTGTATTTTACCTTATTGAAGCCAACATCAAACACAAGTTCTGGAATAAAATCATTATAGCCTGCAGGAGCGGTCGATCTTTTCTTAGTTACGTTACAGTGTGTGTTTGTGGGGGGGGGGGGGATGAGATGTTGTATATCATTTAAAAGTGAAAAAAAAATCGTATCATTATCTGTACCAGATTGTAAGTGTGAATATGGAAATAAATATTTAAAGTAAGGAGAATTTTCTTATTTAAGTGTGTTCTATGTAGTTCTTTAAACAAACTTTGGACTTTTTCTAGACACTTTTACTATTGAAAAGATCTGTTTATTTCTGTACTGAGATGAGGTGATTTGGGAGTTACTTCTGAAGTTGGTGCATAAAACTTTAAAATTCTATACGTTATAGGCTACTTCTTATCCTGGTAGTTATTAACTACCACCAAAATTTCTTTGGGGGCTCAGCATTGGTTTATTCAAGCTATTCCCACTTGTTGAAAATCAGGTAGCAAAAAGTAAAATTTCTTGTGGGGGTAGGTGGAATTTTTGCGTAAACAAATAATTAGCTGAATAAACATATCATTATTGTGAAAACAGTAATTATTAAAACTCTGTGGGAGTAGAGGACAGGTAAATTTGCTATTTTTTAAATTAAAAATCTGACTTTTTACTTCTATTTCAATGAGAAATTAGACTTTTTCAAATAGAAATAGCAGATAAATTAAATACTTTAAAATAAATGAATTTAAGTATATTTTAGTATATTTTTCTGTTAAACTTTTTATTTATTTTAAACTTCAGTTATTTATATGCATCATCTTGTCATTATCTAAGATTAAAACTGTAATTATGTAATGTGTGAATTATGTGTGTTGTGGATTATGTTACACTATTATACAGACTTTGCCTGATGCGAGCGAATCAGTGTTTTATATTTTATGATATCATACTTTCATGTAAATTACTTGAATCTGATTCGTCGAGAAAAATTTGATAAAAACACTACTACCCGCTGAATAATGAAGCCACGCCCTCCTGCGTAGCAACAGTCAACACTGCTTGACGACGGGTGGTATTCCCAAAAATAGCGATTGCGCGGAATTTAGTATTATGTAATATGTATTTGTATAAAACATTCAGTATAATATAATAAATATTGCATGTAGTTGAGTGTAACACTGAAAATTTTCACCCCTCGAAAACCATTGTCAACGGCGGCTGCGCCATTATGAATCTTTTATTTTTCTTTTTGATCGGACACATATTTTGGATTTCCCATAGCAAAACATGGTCACTGTCATTATATTCATAAAAGAGGCGGGGGTATCATTTAGTGAGCTCATTGCTCACAGTACCTCTAGTTATTGCTGTTTTTATGGCCCCGTAATCGAAAATCTGGGGGTATGTTTTTTTCCCTGTCCATTCATCTTTTTGTTTGTCCGTAGACACTTCTACATTTCCCATTATTTTTGACTGGATGGGGCTATAGCTCTTATATTTCACAGTGGTCGTCTTTTTATGAACAGCGACCATCATAATATCGGAGCGTATTTAAGACCTAAATTTAATTAGATTGGACCAAACCCCAAGGGTCATGATTTGAAAAAAACTAATGTGATGAAACTTTCAAATAAATTTCATCTGTTATGGACATGTGGTTCTTAAATAGACGATTTTTAAAAGATGCCACTAAATGTTCACATATTTTTTCCCTCCTTGAAAGAGGATGTGGCACTTCCTGTGAATAAACGTACATCCTCTTTACACAAGGATGCTTTTTGGCAAATTTGAATAAAATTGACCCAGTAGATCTTTAAAAAGTGAAAATTTTCTAGATAGACGGGTAGACACTACACAAAGAGTGACCAGAAAAGCTCACCCGAGCCTTCAGCTCAGGCTAGCTAAAAGTTTTATTAAGACGGATTTTCTTTTAAAGTGGGTCAAATTCAAATGGCAAGGTCAGATAATCAAAAATATTTGTACCCCAGTAAAGGTTTTATCAAACAAATATTTTTGCACAAGGTAGAGATTTTAAATAAAGAATACTTTAATGTTAGACGAAATATGAATTAAAATTTGGATATCATTGAGATTTAATTTTTCACTTATGCCTGTCACACTATAGGCACTTCGGCCGCCTTATCCACCCATCTTCTTTCTTCGAGAATTCTCCGATAGTAATTGATACTTTGTAGATAAAAGTACAATTGAACAGGTGACAGAGTAAAATTATCCAAAGTCTGGATTAGATATCTTAGTTAGATTAAATCTATGTTGTTCTTTATGGAGAATTTGCTTTCAAAGGAAATATTCCAGACAATAATGTTGATTAAAGAAACGACTCTAGATATCGACAGATAGCAGAAGGAATTTGTTTTAAAGGAATAAAAGATGTATATATGTACCGTGGGTAAGTTTTCTTTAAATTGATTTTCTTTTGAAAGTCCATTTAAAGTTGCTTTTGCCCTGTATAGATCCATTTTATCAACGTTTGTATGCAAATTGAAATGGCCTTATACTTCGTTGTGGTTGTACGGCGATGCACTGATAAAAGTTCAGGACAAATAAATATTTTACATAATGACAACATCGACATGTTCATGACATTCGAATATATTTTTTGATACCTGTTATAGAGAGGTAAGACAATATTCTAATCTGATTTTAAAATAGAAGTCCAAACTTTGTCGACCGATGAAATAAAGACCCTTTTTTGTGTTCAGGACGTAACGTACCTTAACTCCTGATAATTTTTATAAGATATTCCCAGTTTAAGATTAAAGTGTCATCATATGTTCTTCGACAAAAAATTAGCATGCATTATCAAAAAAAAAGTTTTGAAAAGATATAAATTTTCTAGTTTATCCAAACTTGTTTGAGAATTTCTGATAATTACGTATTTCCTTAAGCGTGTTTCATTTCATATGAAAGTAAGGTTTTTATTTCTAAGAACAGTAATTTTTAGTTGATAATATAAAGAGCCCAAACCATTCGCCTTTTGAAATAAATCCTTATACACAAAATAAAAAGTAAAGCACAGAAGCAGCCTTTTTCAGTTCCAACATTTCCTTTGGTAGATTTGCATAATGTTCTGGAAGTGAATAAAATTTGCCTTAGAATAAATTCGTATTTATTTCTGTGCCTTTATCTTTCTGCAGTCTCCGATTGTCTGTGGGAAGATCAGATAAACTGAGTATTTTTGTCCCCCCCCCCCCCCCCCCGCTTTCGGGAAAACAGAGGACAATAAATCTCATTCGTCTTACAGTCTGTCCGTCTGACAGTCTGTCAAAATTTTTGTTAACCTTGGTAATACTTTTGAATAAAAACAACAGGGATTTCATATTTTACATGTACATTACCCGTGACAAGACATTATCAAATATACTATGAATTTTACCTTATGACCATATGTCGTAGTTGACCTACTTTTCAAAAATTTGAACTTTGCTGTAAATTGGTCACACCATAGTGCTTTCATATTATACATACATATCATCTGTCACAAGACCTTTCTAAATTTTGACTTTTGACACTGGCCTTGACCTTGAAGCTAACCCACTTTTCAAAAATGTTATCATTCCTCATTACTTTTAAGTGAGAAAAAAGGGCTTTCATCTTTTAATACGTGCATTACATGTACCTTTAACAAGATGTTTCCGCCTATGATTTGATTTTTGACCTCTGACCTTCAAATAAATTAAATTAATTAATAGTTTTTTTTTTAAAAAAAGAAGTTAATTTTAATTTTCAATGCAAAGGTTTAATTTGAAGTTAATTTGTTGCATACGGCGAGCTTTATACAGCGCATACGACCAACATTTGAAATGCAGGATACAGGTAGAATCGGTGTATGCTACTCAAATCTTTATGCAAATAATATGTACAGTTTGTTTGCAATTTATTTGGAAATGCCTCGTAATTCCCTTTCAGTTAATCGTTAGAATAAACAGTAACAGGGAACATGTGAAGCGATATCATTTTGAGCCTTTAGTGATTCTGGTACATTAAAGTTTCTTGTTAAAAAGGTAAATACCAAATTCTTTTGAAAGTGTTAAAAGTAAGTATATTACAGTAAATATAAATCCGAGAGACCTTCTAAGTGTTTAATTCTTAACTGGACGTTTGACCAGGCCTCAATAATCCCGATATAATTTTTTGATTTCTTTTATGTATTACATAATTCAAGTATTAAAATGATGTAATGAAATTATGGCTAAGATCGTATGACCTATAACCGCTTTAAGTGACACCAAATTTAGGTTTGAGTGTTGTGGTGTTTTCCTTAAGAACTGAGATATATTCGAATATTATCATTGACTCAAGTTCAAACAAAATACATTCTAAGTGAAGAGATAAAAGATATCCCGGGATTACCATATTGGTAGTAAAATGCATGCCTCCAAACATGTTTGCTGATCAGTTCTGAAGTGGAGGAATTAAATCTAGAAGTTTTTTTTTAACAGACCAGGTAAAATATTTACAGAACTTACAGTGTAGACTGTGATGAGATTCAGTGGTCGTAATGGCAGATAATTGCCGGATGCACCCGCCGCGGAATATGGAGTTTGAATCTGAGGACTTGAAACAGAAAGCAGAAAATGAATTTCTAATCAAAATAGGAGCAAAGGAAGAGGAGGTACCAAGTTTTTTAAAATTAATTTTTGTTATGTTCCGATGAAAAAGCGCAAATTGTCCAGTCCTACGTTGTTCTGAAACCCTTGGATAAAAGGTGTTGCTGCACTCCTTTTTTTAGCTGCAGAACTGTAGCTCTCTGCTTTAGAAAAATCATATACTTGTATTTAATTCTTATTTTTGATAGATTATTTACCTTTTATCGGTTCGAAACAGTCCTGTATATAGTTTTGTAATATCAGTTTAAATGAGATTTACTCTGTTCTAAGGTAGCGTATCAGAAACCCTTGGATAGCAAAGATGTCCGTATAAGTGCAGCTACTCTTTTTGTGAAATTGAAATCTAAAATGCTATATTACGGTTACTTAATTCAATAATGTTCATACCAGTTGGGAATATACAGTATTTATAGTTTGGAGAGTTTTTTGTTTCAGTTTGACTGGCACCCAGATATCCTGTACAGAAGACCAGAACGTCCCAGGTCCAGCATTAGTCTGGATTATCCCCTAGATCTCAAATTAGGTAGACCCAAAACGGCAGGGACCATTCAAAACAGTAAGTGTATAATTTACTAAGAGAAACTGGGGCGGGGTCATTGTCAAAATATTAATACATGTTTTCAGTCTCAAGCTGAAAATAATTAACTCATTTAGATTTTTAAAAATTCATGTATTTTTTTTTCCTTGTCACATTTACAAGTATGAAATAAAAAAAAAAAATTAGCTGCAGATATGTGGCTCTCCAAAAAAAAATATATATTGATAGACCGGAGAATATACTCGATAAACTACTGAAATATCAATTTTTCGTATTTATCAGTACGATTAATATTTAATTAAGGCCACGTAATCAATTTTGATAGCACATAAGGTTTTCCAGTGATAATCATAATAAGATTATCAGAAAGAAATTCTACAAAAGTTTGAAGACAGGAAGTTTTTCTGGTAAAATATTTGATATACAGTTTATATTCAAGGTGATATATACAGTTTAAAAGTTTCATTTTGAGAGAGAGAGAGAGAGAGAGAGAGAGAGAGAGAGAGAGAGAGAGATTTACTGCATATCTTACTGTTTTTACTATCTTACGGAACAAAAATGTTAAAATCAAACCTTTCACTAGCTCTTTTATTGTCCCTGGCCTTCGCGAAAGCGAGGGGACATTAAATCTCAGTCGTCAGTCAGTCTGTCCGTCTGTCACAAAAAAACTTCAACCTTGGTCATAACATTTGAATGAAAAAAATTGGGCTTTCATTTTTTTTTTTCACATGTATATTACCTTTGACAAGAACTTTCCAAATATACTATGGTTTTTTGATACCGTGACTTTGACCTTGACGTGACGTTTGACCTACTCAAAAATTATAACATTACTTTAAATTGGTTATAACGGTAGAATATGAAAGGAGAGGGCTTTCATATAAACCATGTATACTAGTATTATCTGTATCAAAACCTTTCTTCTAAATTTACTGTTTTTGACCCCGTGACCTGGACCTTGACCTATTTTTCCAAAAAACCTCATCTTTCCATATAACGTTTGATTGAGAAGAGATAGGACTTTCATATTTGACACGTGCATTAACTGTGACAGGATACTTCCCAGCATGCTGTGATGTTTTACACCTTGACCTTGACTTTATGTTTGACCTAATTTTGAAAATTTTGAATTTTGTTGATTTCTTTTGATTGGCATACTCAGTACAATAGGGCGTTCATTTTTGATGCAATATGACATAAGCGATGGCGGCTCATAAACTAAGAAACCGAAAGCGGTGGACCACAATTCTTTGAATTTGGTCACGCGACCATCAAAATTAAGGAGCCAGTGGATAGTCATCTTCGCTAGCCAAGTGCCTCATTCGTTTACCCTCATCCCCCTCCCCTTGATGGTGTAGCGAACAGTATATAGGGAACTTATACTGCCTCGCCAGTGAGCTAGCTTTTCTGGTGAAAAATTATAACATTACTCTATTTCAGGCAAGTTAAGCAACGGCGAGCCTGTTTAACCCTTGGATGGGTGACCGCGCTGCACGTTACAAAATTGGTGGCAGCGTAGTGACTCTGGTGTCTGGTGTCCTGCTTCAGGAAGTCTTAGAGCTAGGACTTAGTGTCCATGTACAGACTTCGTGTCTGTGGACGGCAGGGATTGTCGTATCTGATCTGCATCAGGAAGCTCTAAGGCTAGGACTTTGTGTCCAGGTACGGACTTCGTGCCCGGGAACGGCATTGGCTGCCGTAGCTGAAGAGGCCCAGTCACTCAGAGAAAACTCATGCTAAGCTTCAGGTCGAAGCTTCCCTGAGCGGGGGGAAGTGTAGCGAACAGTATATAGGGAACTTACACTGCCTCACCAGTGAGCTAGCTTTTCTGGTGATGCGGTAGAGTCTCCCTCTATTTCAGGCAAGTTAAGCAACGGCGAGCCTGTTTAACCCTTGGATGGGTGACCGCTTCACGTTACAATGGAGACGAGGGCGGCGACTGGTTTGATTGTAATCAAACTGAATTTTATTGACATTTCAGGAAACCCTTGGGCGTGTAATAATCAGGCACTGAGACAAATGACTCTGGTAAGGTGGTGAATTTTTAATATCATTTCAAATATGCTGCATTTTTCTCGCATAACTTTATTTGAGATATTGTGTTTTGATAATATGTATCAAATATTTACATGTAGGCGTGACTAATTGAGTTTTTACATAATTGTCTAATTTTTCTTTTTTTAACAATTTCAGGTGTCTCGCCATGGTCCACGTCATAGGTTTCTGAACAAAGCCCAGTTCTCCACTACTTATGTGACCTACGTCCCTATCAGGATTTAAGGAGGATTTTATTAGAATAAGTTATGCTAGTCGCATCCTTACATTTTGTTTCGAGATACATTGGCAACCAGTGTGACAAAACGATATGTTTCGCCTGAATGTTTTGAAAATTAAGTTATTGCATAACTTCTAAAAGACAGGCTAGTTGCTAGCTGCAATAATGTAGCCCTCTCCGATTTTTTTTTTTTTTTTTTTTTTTTTGGAGAGGGCTACAACTCCTTAGGATCTCTATATATAATGGCGCAGATGCGGCAGTGGATCACTCCCGCACATATTTCGGCTCAAATTATCAGTAAACGGCTATTTTATTATTATCTCTTACCTGGAATCCAAATATGTAATTATGCAAAATATAAATCGATCCAAAAATATTCACAACGACCCATATATCGGTTATTTTTCGTGTGTGTCAACAGCTTAACTTGAATTTATCCGCCATGTTTACTGACCTTGATGGATTGTATTTTGGGACAGCCAATGAGAATTTAGGTTCTATAGGAGCGGATCTACTAGGAATTCCCTTATTTTAAGCATAGGTATCGCCGTTTGCGCAAAAGTAACACTTGAAATGGTTTTATTTATCGATGTTTTTGTAATATATTATAGCACAATCGTTTATAAACATCGACATTTGCTTTATTTGGTTGTTCCAAATTTCAAGCGAAAGTCTCACTACGTCACGCGTGAACTGTCATGGCTGCTGAATGTTGCAGCTGGGAAAAACACAGATTTATTTTACATGGTTTTCGAGTTTAACAGGCTATGTTGTTGACAGTGAACAAAAATTCCGTCTTATAAGAAGTAAGTTTAATGTAAAAATAATTTATTTTGCCTCCAATCACCCGTATCAAAAAAAATAAATTTGCACCATTATGGAGATGCGATGGAATTGTAGCCCTCCCCAGAAAATATCAGATAAAAAAAATCGGAGAGGGCTACATTATTGCAGCTAGCTTGTTGCTTGTTATGTGAGCCATGCAGGATTCATTTCTGTTTCTTCGCGTATGATGAAGTGTTTTATTTTATTGCATCAGGGAGGATCCTCTATTGTGAACGAGTTTTTCTGTACCATTATACATCGTATATTAAACAATTCATGTGATCTAAACATTGACGTTTTACTTAGGTCTATGGATCTGAACTTTTTCAATGCAAAGTTGCCGGCCCATGTTTAGTATTTTCAGCGATATTGAATACTGTATGATCATTTTATTTGGAATATTCTATGTTCATATTCCTGCTGAAAATGTTCAGAAATCATATTCAATACAGTGTGGCTTGATTGGAATTTTGTCAATTTTTCGGGACTACTAGAGTATTTTACATGCAAAAATAAATAAATAAATACATAAAAATTTTAATAAAATCTAATTTCCAGCTTTCACCAATTCACAAGGGCCATCAAACATTGACAATTCAGAAAACGAATTTTTTTTGTATATATATGGCACGCCAAATTCACAAAAATGAGATAATCATAGTTTCACAATTGATAAACTAGGTTTATCGACTGTAAACTATGGTTTACAAACCGTAAACTATAGTTATTAAGTATAGTTTTCATCTGTAAAACTATATTTAATGGTTGTTAACTATAGTTTACGAATGTTAATTTAAGTTTATCTGTCTGTAATAAAGCGTTAACAATAGATTTTGTTGATAAACATAGATTAACGTTTGTAAACTATAGTTTACAATCGTAAACTATAGTTAAGAGTTGTTAATAATAGTTTCATAAATTGTGAAACTATATTTATCAGATCGTTAACTATAGTTAACGGTTTGTAAACTATAGTTTACAAATCGTGAAACTGTATTTATCAGATAATCTGTTTTGCAATCGCTAATAATTGTTTTCAGCGTTAAGTATAGTTTACGGTTGTGAAACATAGGTTATCGCGTTAACTATGGTTTACAGAAAAATCTTAACGTTGTTCTATAGTTTTCGGTTTGTAAACTAAATTCACAACCGATAAACCTAGTTTAACGATTGTGAAAATGATTATTTTTTTTAATATATATATATAAATGCTAACAATGCCAATTTATTTATGATACACAAACGTGTATAATAAACAGATATGTACAATCTCTCTCCCTCTTTCTCTCACCCCCTCTTCGTTTTGAGTTAAGTAAAGTGAAAATATAAAATGCCATTGGAATATCACAGTTAACGGTTCCCTAAATATAAATTTGGTTATCCACAACTTCCGTCTTTCCATCCATCTCGCCATCTCTCGTCCACGAGATTACAGTCAAACTCAGGTTTCCCGATTCTTTTGTTTATTTTGTTATGTAATCTACACATCCACTGAGAGAGCTCTTCACGTGATCCTGTTTCTGGTTTGTTGGTCTTCAGTCTAAAAATAAAGATATAAAGTCGTTACAATTTTTTTTGTGAAAAGGGCCACTGTGGTCTTCATGCAAAAAAGTAGCCTTCAAATAGTCACGTGGCTCATATACGTTCTGAATATAAGTGTACCTTAGTTAGCTGCTGAACTGTTGCTTTTTTGGTTGATAACTTTGGATAGACAAACTCTGGTTTTTCTCTCCGATTTTTTTTCAATCAGATAGCTATAGTTCTATGTAAATCATTAACTAAAAATGACATGACCAAATTTTAAAATACATGAAGTTCTATCTTTCGTGAATTAATTTGTACAAATCAAGGGTCCTAACCTCGCCATACCTGCAGTGTAAATATACCTTACCTTATAGCAGACACTTTTTAAATTGTTAAATGGGTGATCAACCAGGAACATTAAAAAATATGTATAGACTTTATTATAACTTTTCAGTTTTTTGTTTTTTTTTGGGGGGGGGGGGGGGGGTTATGAAAATATGATACTGTAAATTGGCAAATAATCGCGATGGTTTTAATTTCGCTATGTTCGCGATTCATCGTTTTTCCGCGAAAATAAACCCATCGTGAAAGCTATCATTAGCTATTAAAACGTTTAAATGATTGTGAGAAATTTTCTTACAGCGTGAAATTAAAACCATCGCGATTGGAACTTTTTGAGAAATCGTGAAAATTTAACACCGTGGAATTAAAACGACTTACAGTATATCTCGAATTTCCTAAAATTAATACCGGTACAATATGATGAAGATGTATTTTTTAATGATCCTCTTATGACACACACATAATTTCAAAAACAAAATCACAAGTCTGCTCTACAGCAAACTAATGTAACCAGACAATAAAAAAAACGAGACTCTTACTCCTTGCGAAGGTCCTCTGCACAGAAGTCACAAGGGAAAAACTTGGAGAAAAGATGGATGAAATTGGACATGTCTTTCTGCTGTGTTTCAGATGGTCTCTCCGGATAGTAAGCCGCCATTGTGTGGAGGAAAGACCACGTGTTTCGCCCTAAACTGTCTTTGTCAAGTGGACATTCTTTTTGCTTCTTGTTGTTCTTTTCCATTTTCTTCTGTAAATAAAATAATAACAGCGATGTCTCATGTCATGGATAGATGGACACTTTAATTTAATCGTATAAATGTTACATGAAGGACGCTGAACACGAAACCAATGTCATGTTAAAAACTTTGACAAAATTTACAATTAAATCTAAAAGTACAAGTATTGCATAATGAAAGGAAGGGGGTTGGGGATTGGCGAGACACATTTTTCTGACGGACGGAAAATTGGTTGACGTATTTGTATTTTCACTATTTTGTAATAATTTCTTACGCAACAGAGAAATCATAAACCCAAAACCACAAATCAACGATGATTTAGATTAGCATTTCAAAGTCTGAACTTGATAATACACACTTGTATTGCAGGGCATACATGTATATCAGGAATGTTGATTAAAGAAAGAAAAATATTAATTCAAATTTATCACTCTTACGTTAAATATATCTAGAAGCGAGAAAATGGTAATTAACTGCAAAAATGCTGTATTTTTTGCTTGAGTGCATGAATATCAATTAAATACCCCTTCAAGTTTTCATTTCTTCTAAAATACTAGTATTTGAAAAGGACGCAAAAGGGTTATCACCAGCATATTTCGATTATTTATATTTTCATTTTGTGTGGTCGTTAAAAAAACGAGCAATGACTAAGTTTTCATTCATCCTATAATTATGTATCTATCAAATCTATAGATCTGGATAACTATTTGCCTCCAATAATCCCCAAAATATTATCTACAGGAGTTGTTTAAACCCTGTGACGGTCAACGGCCTTGGCTGTACGGTTATTAAATTCTTTGCATACTAACTTCTGGAAATTACAGAACTCCCACGCCCTAATCCTAAGAGCAATTGTCAGCGAAAAGTATTGCTTGTGATTGCACTAAACGTAGAAATAAATAAAAGAAGCCGTGCATCGTTAGTTTCATTCTCGTTAAATAATAATTTACCCATTTTTTAACGTTTTTTTTTTAACGAATGTCAATTCCCTGTCGATGATTATGTCGTTTTTCTATTGGAAAATAAATAAGATACATAAATGAAAGCGTTTCCCCACTTTTTAAAGCAATACTTTTTTATCACACGCCTTCTAGGACCATTTACTTTTGATCACTGAATTTAAGTGAATTAATGCAAATACGGAACTGTTATTGTGTCATACATTATAGGGCCCCTTTGACTTAATGTACTTTGCCTGGGGGTTTGTGACGTGGCCTGCACAAAGATCCTGTGCCTGGATGGGCAGAAAAATTGAATCTTTGTCTAAATGCTACGGAAGCAACAATCCTTTTTAATTTATTTTTTTAAAATAAGGATGCAGACATACACGCTATTTAAGCCTTTGTAAAATGTGTTAAGAAATTGGAATTGTGGATTCCCCAACTAGTAGCATTAGTCAACGTCTTCAAAGGTAAGAACTAAAAATATACATAGCTTGCAATAATACAAATATAGAGGCGCTAGTCACGGAATTTCAGAGATTCCTGTTAGACTATATATAAATGACATCGACAGTCCACTTTGTAGAAGTGACTAATTAATCTTCAAAATGATTAACTTTAAATCAGTCTGTATATGTTGGGTTGTAAGCCTTCTAACGATAGTCAAGGTTTGTTGAACTTAGTTCAGATTTTTTTTAATCTTGCTCTGTCAATTTTACATCTAGAAATAGTCTTGCACATTTTCTCTCTATTAAATAACTTTTTTTTAATCTCCAGAATTCACACGTGTCGGCTTCTCCCACTCGATCCGGTGTAGAAAATAATGATACAAGTAAGAAAGTATATTTTCACCTTTGTCATATTCATTACACTTTTATAACATTATCATACTTTCAAAATCAGTTTTACTACTAATTTATCATTTAATAATTCACAGAACGACTGAAACAAGGCCCAATAGCCCTTTTGCAGTACAAACACACTGAAGCCAAACACGGTAATTATTCGCCAAACTTCTGGAAATTCACGTAAATAAAATTATCTAGAAGGATAGAAAGTAGACCTTTTCTATTTCTGATTTTACGTATTTCATTTATTAATGATATTTATTTAATTTTTTTTAAAGGAATTATAAAATGGTCGCAGACAGACAAGAATTCGTATGTGCATGGCGGGATGGACTTTTCTGAGGACAAATATATAGTGCTGCCCTCTAGCGGTTATTATGATGTGCAGACGAGAATTCAAATGGATACCTATACCGTGGACATGCCAGTTTCAAAAGAGGTGTTAATACGGCTAGCTATTAACGTGATGGATCCCAACGGCAACGTCAGAACACTGATGGAGGAAAAGTTTATTCTTGGGTACAAACAGATGTTTGGAAAGCAGCTAGGTCCATCCATGTTCTTTTTATCAAAGGGCAGTGTGGTGTACGTGGTTATGAATAATCACACGTATATTAATCCTAGTAAACACAACATGTTTGGTATCAGGAAATGGTCAGATTAACAATATCGTGATCAGGTGGTATTACAACCAATTCAAATCTACTCACTGCATGGAGTAAACTGTTCAAAACTTATTTTAAGATATATTTTACTTTTGCAATAATATGCAATTATTTTATTTGTACATTTATTGAATCTCTTACAAAATTATTTATATATTTATTTATAATGCAAGATTTGTACAATTGTGATTTGTGAATGGGAGGGAGAGAAAGACTGTTGTTTTTATTTTCATTCAAAATGGAAATATATCTTTCGGTTGTGTATACTAAACTGCATTCCGATGGCAGTATAAAAATATGTATTGTCTTTCATAGTGGTAGATGTATGAGGCAGCATGATTTTTTAAAAAATATTATTTGATCAAAAACTATGTGATAATAAATGTTTATTTTTTTTAAAAGTGTTGTTGGTTATTTTTTTTAAATTGCTATCAGCAACTAGCAATGGAGCTTTCAGATTAAAGAGGGCCTGATCACAGCAATTTTCATCAAATAGATGTATTGTTTCATAAGTTTATATCCAAATTACCATAATATTTGAACAATCTGATAAATATTGAAGTACAAAGGTAGTACAAAGGTAAATTTAATGAGATTAAATATTCCAGTTTTGTGGCAAAAAGACTCTATGTCACTTTCATTTTGTATACTATTTCAAGTAAGTAGCTGCTATGCTTTAGCCACCTTGTTACTATGCATGAAAAAAGGATTTAAATTTTAATGGACTCGTAAAAAAGAGTCTCCTTGAACAATATGTTAGATATACATGCATCAATATAAAGTTATTCAGTGGTGCATTTTGGACGCGATGCTGTAATGAAGTTTTTAGTTAAATGCATTTTTGTGGAAGTCTCAGTGCTCTTCTGTCATAAATTAAATAGTGTGGAAACTGAGAAATCGAAACAAACAAGAGCCCCATTGGTCACAATGCTAGCCTGAGTCACATTAGCCCTGCTGTTCTGTCAAATCATAGCTCTTGAAAGTAAGTTGATGCAACAATGCACAATACAATTTTTATGTAGTGTTTAATACAGGGACAAATATATCACATATCAATTATATGTCTGTAAGCAAAAGCACAACACAATTATTATGTACAAATAGTGGTCAGGCCTATAAAAAATTATATGTTTGATATCTTTCCGTATTTTTCATGTTTGCTGAAAAAATATAGGGTAGGTAGGTTGCATTTTTTTTTTTGTTGAAAATTTTTTTAAATGCTTCTTTAATCAAAACATGTATGCAATAACATTGAATGACAAAAGAAATTGTGTAAAAATAAGCATTTCTGTGACTTAAACTTTAATGGAATGAGCCCCAGCTCTGCAGTTTATGTAGAAAAGCTTACAAAGTTGCATGAGATTATAATTCCCAGAATATGAAATCTTGAAATTATCATCATGACATGGGACAAAAGCAAAAAAATATTATAGCAAGGTCGGCACTATAAATTAGGGTAACGTGTAAGAAAGGGAAACAAACATATTTTTTTTTCTAGGCCTCAACTTAAATTGAATTTTAATTTTGGGTTAGTACACCTGGAAAAATCTTAAATAGATGGAAAAGTATTATAATATGAATGTAATAGTCATTTGATTGAGATAAAAGAAGCATTATTTGTGTAAAAATAAAATAAATGGGTATAACCCTCTTTGGAATGAGCCCCAGCTGTGCAGTTTATGTAGCCATGGCGTTGCAACATGATTGCATGATGGAGAAGCCTGTATAATGGAGAATATTATCTGAGAAATTAATCCTATCATAGATATCAATATGAAAATTAGGGATGTCAACGAGTACCCGGTTATACAGGTAGTATATAACGATAATGACATAAACAGTAATGGTGTATTTTTCTGAAACATTAGTAAGTTATTGGATGTATATTTTTGAATATTTCTAAGCTTATTTATTAATGCATTAAACAATCTGTTTTAAAACTTAAAAAATAACATTGCACTTGTACATACAGTAATTAGGGTTTCCTACTCGTTATCGCCCGTGGCAGTGTTTATACAGTAATTTTCGTGACCAAGCACCTGTTACCAGGGGCTGTCTTCTACCCTTATTTTTTGATTTTCTTTAATTATTTGTTTTCACTGAACATCGTTTAAGGTCTGTTATGATTAAATAAATTAGATAATTTTTTAATTGTCCAAAATGCCGTAAATTATTTTAAAAGAGAAGTAGGTATCAATCCACACACACGAGCGACTGTTATGGTTGTTTGATTACATGCCAATACATGTACAAATAGTTGAAGGCAAAGGCTTTAAAAAACTGATGTTCATCGTTGCACCAAACTACAAAATACCGTCCCGTGATACTATAAAATCTAGGATCGTAAAGTATACGAAAATCGTAAATTGGCTCTGTAAGAACTTGGTCAAGTTTAAGTCAAACTGTACGACTGATATAAACGTTGACATCTAATGAACAAAGAGTTACATTACAATTACGGAGTAGCTTATTTTTTTTAAACAAAAACATCATGAACAACTTACGATTTTATTTCTTGTGTTTATCTGATAAATAAATTGAACTTAAAAATGTATTTAATTTGTGGGCACGACTTTCAGTGAAATAAAATGTTCTGGAAAACATCATTGTTACAACAGAAATGCATTTACGTGTAAACCTCCTATCAGAGCATGTGGTTTTATTTCTACAGGTGTTTAAAATGTTTTACATTCATCAATTTACTTGTTCATATTTATTTACACTTTTACCGAGTACCCGGGTACTCGATGCCAAAAAACGTAAAAACGATAAGTGTATTAAAAATTGACTGATTTGACATCCCTAATGAAAATACAAAATTATAGCAGGGCAGCAAGCTCAATAGACTAACATGTGAGAAAGAGGAAATTAGGGTTGAAATCTGTACATAATAAATAAATAAATAATAACGTAAAGCAAAAGAGGCTTTCAGTTCGTAGAAATCTTTAAAAGAAACAAAAATAACTCTGCAATGTCTTTCGACAAAAATTGCACTAGGTCTATAGTTTCAACTAGACGCTCAGCTGTTTCCGTAAACCCTGATGAGCTCTCGTGTGACGTCACAGTCTTAATGTCTCATGCGACTTGACGTTTGAAGTGGTGGGTCAAAGTTTCAGGTGCATTTTTGAAGGTACAACTGCACTCGCCCCAACGGTCACACCTTAAAAAATATTAGGATTGCAGGTGAGTCATATACATGTAGTATATAAAGATAATGACATAATCAGTAATGGTGTATTTTTTAGGGCTGGGACAATACAACTTTTCCTATATCGATACGTATAATGATATTTGAGCCATGATACGATATGTATCACGATATGTTTAATTGCTTATAAAATGTTTTTTTGCATTGAAATAAACAAATTCTTTTCAAATAAGAATATTTTTTTCAAAATAGTTGTTTATATTCTGTAAAACAAAAATATTTTACTTAAGTGGTGTTAGTTATTATTTATTTCATTTGTATAGTTATGTTTAGCTTATTTATTTTATATTATTAAACCCCAAATGTTAAATGAACAAAGAAATATAGTAGTCAGATTTTTTTGGGCGATATTTTGATATTTCTTCATATGTATCGATATGCATATCGTCCTCACAGATATCTTAATATATCGATATCTCGATATATCGTGCCAGCCCTAGTATGTTTCTGAAACATTACTAAGTTATTGCATCATTTTTTTCAATATTGCTAGTTCGTAAGTTTTATTTAAATATCTGAATTTAAAACACAAAAATAACATTTACCACCAAAAGTTACATATTATTGATATGTAATAAGTCAAATACGGTCCTATTTTACTTACTGCATGTGAGTTCATTCACAAGGATTAGTGTTAACAAGTCACATCCCCCCCCCCCCCCAAAAAAAAAGAAGACAAAGAAATTATTTAATTTTTCAAAATATAGTTGACAAATGTGATTTTAAAGGAGAAGTAGGTATCAATCCACACACCTGATGATCACTGTCACATGTATCAACTCTAGACATGAGGGCTTAGTTACCATGAAACACTTAATTCTTACTGTCAATCAATAGGTACAAGGGAATAACTATTAGATGTACTTACTTCAATAGTCTTCCCTTGCATTTTCATGAATGTGGCAAAATCAAAACACGTTCTGGCCGTACAAGGCTTAGTTGCAGATCCATAGTGTGTCTCCTCTGTGTCTTCCCTGGGCGCAGCCATTTTAGAAAATTGTAAATTTTGAAACGAGAGGAACTGAAATTATTCCGGATTTTAGAAATTCTTTTTTTTTTCTATTAGGCCTATTTTGCTTCAAAAAGATTTAAATCTGTTACACAACAACTTTTTGAACAATTTTTAATTTTTTTTTGAATTTGTATTTTTCATATTCTCGAAAAAACACAAGAATTGTTTTCTTTGGGCCTATGGACTACTTTTACACGGTTCCGACGACATTCTGGGGACTTTCAGCAAAATAAAATGTCAGAAGGAAAAGGAGCCTCTGGGAAACACTATGGTCCCGTTAACAATCCATATGCCCGCACTATGCGGAACATGTTCGCATATCTTAAGCCTGAAAGTAAGAGTTGCTTCTGTATCATATTTTTAATTAATATACCAGCTCGAATTTCCTCTTCTCTATTTTCATATCTATTTGAGTAATAACCTTATACATCATCAAACATGCCAAAGATATTGTAAAAACGATAAGTGATTGAAACTTTTACAAATTGCTAAGAGGCGATGTCATCTAGACGAATGTTTCTTTTGAAGGAATGGTTCTGAATGTAATTTATACAAAATCCTCTTAAAATGTATTCAAGTTTCTTTTGGGGGGTTAGAATTTAGATACTGTATTATTTACTTACTTTATTTTATGGAAGTTTGGCTACAAAAACTTTGAATATCAGCCACAGGCACTTGTTTCGCATACGGGGTAAATATAGGTAGGGGGTACCCCGTATACAAAATATTTAGTGCCTGTAATATCAGCCTATAGGTATTTAAGGTCCAGTGATATAGTTTCTTTATTCATTCCATATATTATGAATTCATTTTTATTTTAATCATAATCTTTCCCAATTTAATTTACAGGGAGAGTGGAATTGAAATTTCACATCAGTAACAACCCTGGTGCAACTTTCATGATGGTAACCAGTACAATTTGTAAGTTTTCTTGTTATAGTTAATTAGTATTTGTCACCCGGTACAGTGATTTAATGACCAAGTGAAATGCGTATCATTTTTTTTAAAGCTAATTCAAATATTTCAGTTACACTTTTGGCATTTTTCAACTTATTTTCCCTATGTTACTAGTGTATCATGGGATATAATAATGAACAATATTACAGTAGTAAGTGTTCACCGCTAAATAATTACAAGTATTAGAACCAAACAACTGAAAGATTGTAACTTTAATATGTACATGCATGTAGTAATCACCTGCTCTGTCCATGAACATAACAGGTTGTGTGTACCTTATACATGTTGCAATCACTTGGTCTGTCCGTGAACCCAATAGATTGTCATATTTTCTAGCCAAGAGTTTCTGAAATGCTACTTTTCTTACAAACCATTTGACCTACATGCAGCCCTGACTTTTGACAGCACCATAGGCCAAGGGTTTGTGAGAAGAGAAGCAGATCAGAAAAAACCTTAGCTAGCAAAGATGAACAGGTTGTATGTACTTTATACATATAGTAGTCACTTGGTCTGTCTGTCTCTCTGTGATGAACACAACAGTTTGTATGTACTGTAATAAACTCTTGGTCCCTTCGTCTTTCTGTCTGTATCCTATACATGTAGTAATCACCTTGTCAGTCTGTCTCTCTGTTGGTACATGTGAGAATACTTATGGGCCCTGTATGAATGTCTGCAGTCTTGTTAGTTTGTTTTGGTAAAGTTTTTTTTTTTCCATTTTTTTGGTTACAGTGGTACTTAGCTTTGCTCCCTTAATGGCCCAGCAAAGAAGAATCGACTTCACCTCAAAGGCTTATCACTGTCATTATAGAGGTAAGGTTCGACTTTTGTAGATGCATTTAATTTTGTTACCAAATTTAATGGATGTGTTCATTAAATAAAACATGTTTGTAATTTAAGATTAAATAGAAACTTACCAATGTTCATTATTTATTGAAATGTGTGTAAGGCCAAAAATAAAAATAGTCTTGTTTCCTGCTACCTGACCTACCCTATTTTTTTGCACCCGACCCTAAAGTTTTTATTTAGTTTTTGAGAGAAAATCGAAAATTTCATGTTCCAAAAGTGAAAAAATATACATTCAAGTGGTATTTCATGAAATATATATGTTTTAAATATGGACTTGCATGAAACACTACTTATTTTAAACGATAATATTGACCAATGACATGTTTAATTTGGTTTTGTAATAGTTCATATCCAACAAATACCATTGGAAAAAAATAAAATGAAATAAAAAAAATAAAATAATTTTCCGACCTACCTACCCTATTTTTTTCAGGCTGGTAGCAGGAAACAAGACTATTATTTTTCTGTACAAGTTCTGGTTGTGTATTAAATGGTTAGCAACTGTGCACTCTAAGTGTGCACCTCCATGCAGATACATTTTTCTCAAATTGAAATGCTGCATGGTGTTTCTTGAAAGTTTATTGGAATAAATTTTGTTGATTTATACATTGAAGAAACTGATAGAAAGAGTACCGTTATATAAAAAGGGCAATAACTCTTTTTTTAATATATATAGTTACTCTTTCTATAACTGTTGGTAAACTAATCCTATATGTAATACTTGTGTGGGAATATATATTCATATGATAAGAAACTACAGGTATTATATCCATCCATGTTTATCTTGTTTGTTAATCCAAGAAAGTTGTAAAATAAAAAAATTAGCAATTTTGCATTCCAAATATTTGCAACCCATCCGTTTTGCAGATTCTTAATTAAGTTACCTTAGAGCCCCAGAATCAAGTTTTGGGGCCATTTTGCATAATAATACTTATTAAGAGAAGCTCACTTTTTGATCACAGTAAATTGAGTAAAATAACAGTAAAAAGTGAGACTATGAGGTAAAAAGAATGAGCTTATTTTAAAGGATCACTTCATTATAAATAGGGATCTGAACTAAAGGACCGGGCTTGGTTTTTTCTCTACAAAAAGCCTGTCGATTTCCGTTCCGATTAACGGCATTAGGCTGAATACATATAACAATTTGTTTTTCCTAAATCTTATTTCTGAGAGTAGAGGTAGGAGGAACCCTTTCATTGATTTTCTGAGTTTGTTATCTCCAAATGTAATAATTAATTGATATTTTTCTTTACTTCTAATTGTGCATAATGGTAATGTCTACTGTCCCTGAAATTCTATTCTTTATGTTTAGGGTATTTTTCCGTGGATAAAATAAAACATGCCATTAATGTGTGCAAATTACATAGGCCTAAATGAAATCCAAGGGAGTACAGTTACTGATATATGTATTCAAAATCAATGTGAAAAGATGTAGTCATAAAATGAGCATTTTTTTTTTATTTCAGTGTTAAGGAAAGAAGACGCAGATCCAAAACTGAAAGAAATTGGATATTATAACTAACTTAATACAAAAACTTTGTGTATAGTGTTAAAACTTTTAAATAAATATAGTTATAACAAAATGATACATGTTTGTTTGAAATGAACTCAGCACTTCTTTTAAATGTTACAGATCTGCTCAATGTATAGGATTAACCAATAATGTTAAGCCAATCAACACACATTAGAAAGATATAAAATTAATTTGCTGAAGATGAGAATTCTTTCTTGAAAATATTTAAAACATTCATTGCCTATATAATTGTTACTGGAGATGACTAAATTTTCAGATACCTTATTTTCATGAGCTAGTAATTATAACTCATTGTTAGGGAGAAAAATATTTTTTACGAATTTTGGTAATTACTGCATGTGTATATAATCTTAAAGAATATTATTATATGCAAGAACATTGTGTTCTTGAGCTGTCTTGCATGACCAGGTAATTATGTGGAAATAAAGTTCTCGTGAATATAAAGTGATTTTCAGTATCTATAGTATAAACTTGGAAGGAGAGGTAACTCTGTTTGACTACTTTCTAACATTCAGTAATTATATAGCTTATTCATTTAGTATGTTCAAACATATATTGTTGCAAGGGAAGAACATAATTGTATATCCAGATATCATTAATGCTGGTTTAAATTGTCAGAAACCCTTTCATGAATAGATTTGATTCTGGGAATCAAGATTTTTATACATTCATTCTGAGGGGAAATGAAACAAAAGGTAGCATAATATAATTTAATACATGTGAGAAAAAATATGAAAAAAAATGACAAGATATCTACCACTGTGCAACTGAGTGTTTGAAATTACCAATCCCTGAAGTGGGAGAACACATATTGAAAGTGGTAAAAAAGTCAAAAACAGAATGATGAAAAGTGAAAAGTCGATTGGGAAAAGTTGTGGTGTCATTAGAATTTGGCCACAAAAGTTTATATTTCTTAAAGAAATAGAGACTGCGAAAGGTGAAAAAAGTTTCCATGGATTGTGTTTATATCAATCTTTATCTATCATCCTTATGAGCTTCAAAGATCCGCTTTTGAAAACTATAGAGCAAAGAATGTCAGTGACACCACAACTTTTGTGAAACTGTCCAGAATTGTTTGCAGAAAAAACCAGCCTATTGCACTAAATTGGATTAATACATTCTTACAACCCGTGCGCATGTCATTTGGCACCGAAGACTTCATTAGCAACAGATTTTTACAAATATATTTTCCAAATGCAAAAAATCACCGCCTCGGAGTTGAAACCCCATATGTTACTTAACCGAAACCCCATGTGTGCCCCTATACACGATGTAACTCATCAAATCATACCACTTGATGCTTTGGAGATTTACATTGTTTTCAGATATTTACAATCAATTTGAATTTTTAGGAATCAGGGTAGGGCTGATGAAATTCTAAGGGTCTCAGGCTGTTGCATTGTATATGAAAGGTCAAAGGCAACAACAAGCTTGCATATTGTATTGTGAACATTTTCACTCTAGAACAACTTGTCTGTCGCCTGAAAGAAACTGGAAGGGTTGCTGACTGATCACAATGGGGATGCCATGTCAAGACTGGGTTATTCATTCTTGCTTCTTTGGTAATTTCCACCCTGAATACAAGAGACAATCATAATGATCACATTCAACCAAAATTGGAAGAAACAGTTGGCCCAAGTTTGTTCTGTATGATTGTCAACCTTATGTTGATGTTTCTCTCAGTAGTGCATGGATGCATCTTATGACAATCTTCTTTCCTTGTAGTCAGAAATTGTTAAAACTTTCTTGCAAATAATCACAATTATCCACTTGACTGGCCTCTGTGTGGTCCACTTTTGTTCCCAATTCAACAGATGAGGGTGTTAAAATGCCCCTTCTACTCTTTACAAACTAGAGGCTGCCTTGATAGAAGAGTGGAAAAATAACTCCATGACAGAGAAGGATGAATGCATTGATGATTACATATAAGAATCAGTAACCAGATGCAGGAAGAGTAAGATTCTGATAAATTGATCCAATTTACCTGTTGAAGATGGATGGGGGTGGGTTGGGTGGGGATGTTTCTGTCAAACATTTTTAAACTCTGAATTACCTGTCAAAACCTAATAAGATCTTGTTAATCAAAAATGTATTGAAGTATGTATTGTAATGTAATGTATTAAACAGTCAACTATGCTCATGTCATGAGGAATGATTGCTGCATCAGAAAAAATGAAAACAAGGGATTGATATTATGAAGTAACTTGGGATTTTGTCTGAAAAATAGTTTCCAGATAAGTGAGCCAAGAAAGATTTACTTTATATTACGGTTGCTTAACAGTTACAGAATTTAAAAAGTTAATGGAACAGGAAACCTATAATTGCCACCAATTTTGTCCTGAACCTGAGTTTTCCATTGGGGTTTTGCAAATAAAAGATATTTTGCTTATAAAAGGTGGTTTACAGTAATTAAGCTTTTCCAAGGTTTAAACCCTTGCTTCTAAAAGTCACTATATAATTACATTTTGACTTGAAATACTTTTAATTGCTGATTGAATGTGTGTAATAATCTTTAGGGAGGTATCGCAGTAAAAGATATACTTTTAGCAAGCTGGGGAATATATGTACATGTAATGGGTAGTAGCTAGTGTGCGTGAGAAAAGAGTTGTGGATTATGTGAGACACTTTTACAATTTACAAACTGAGAAATTCTAGGATTTAAATCTGATGGTCAGCAATAATTCAGGACTTTTCAGCATTGGAATGAAATGAAGTGAAGATGGTGATTAATTCATGACTGGATACAGATGGCACACCTAGGGATTTTGATGACCCAGCTACATTAGGAGCATTCAGTGATGAAAGTGAAATCTTCTGTTTATGGAGGTAGAGAACTATGGGAAAATGCGATGAAATTCGTAGTGATCAATATTTATTTGGGGAAACCTCTCTAATCATTTTATGTTATTGCAGTATTGTATATTTTTTTATTTGATAAATGAAAGTTCAATTATAAACATCAAACAAGCATGTCATTCTCAATATTTTTGATAAATGTTAATTGATTTTATGGAAATCAGTAGATCAAATTTAGAATAAGTATGATAATTTGGTCTGAAAGAAATAACTGGATGCTGAGAAGAGATACAATCTTGAAGGATAATAGTTGATCTGTCTGCTTCCCCTCTAATTTCAGCCTTGATGTGCATGCAAAAGGTTGAAATTATCCAGAAAAGAATGGAGGGGATTGAAAGTATATATAATTGTTTAGCAAGTTAGATATTTTGTATTAAATTTTGTGTTACAGGTTCAAATGGACTCAGCTATTTACACAGTGAAGTCTTTTGTTACAACTTAATTCATGTGAGTATACTTCCATTCACTTAAGTCTTTTTTCTGGTACAGCCTCATATGGACATCATCATTCATTCAGCCAAGTCTGTCATTTCAACTTAATTCATATGGGCACTGCAATTCACTTGGCAGGTCTTCATATGGGCACTGCAATTCAATCAGCAGGTCTTCAAATGGGCACTGCAATTCACTTGGCAGGACTTCATATGGGCACTGCATTTCAATCAATGAATTCTTTTGCTACAGTTTCATTTACATGGGCATTGCCATTCCCTCAAAAAAGTGTTCTCTTAGCTTTGCGTGGGCACTGCCATTCACACAATCAAGTCTTTTGTAAGAACTTTATATGGGCACTGTCATTGACACAATCAAGTCTTTTGTAAGAACTTTATATGGGCACTGTCATTCACATAATCAAGTCTTTTGTAAGAACTTTATATGGGCACTGTCATTGACACAATCAAGTCTTTTGTAAAACTTTATATGGGCACTGTCATTCACATAATCAAGTCTATTGTAAGAACTTTATATGGGCACTGTAAGAACTTTATATGGGCACTGTCATTCACATAATCAAGTCTTTTGTAAGAACTTTATATGGGCACTGCCATTCACATAATCAAGTCTTTTGTAAGAACTTTATATGGGCACTGCCATTCACATAATCAAGTCTTTTGTAAGAACTTTATATGGGCACTGTCATTCACATAATCAAGTCTTTTGTAAGAACTTTATATGGGCACTGTCATTGACACAATCAAGTCTTTTGTAAGAACTTTATATGGGCACTGTCATTCACATAATCAAGTCTTTTGTAAGAACTTTATATGGGCACTGTCATTGTCACAATCAAGTCTTTTGTAAGAACTTTATATGGGCACTGCCATTCACATAATCAAGTCTTTTGTAAGAACTTTATATGGGCACTGCCATTCACATAATCAAGTCTTTTGTAAGAACTTTAAATGGGCACTGCCATTCACATAATCAAGTCTTTTGTAAGAACTTTATATGGGCACTGCCATTCACATAATCAAGTCTTTTGTAAGAACTTTAAATGGGCACTGCCATTCACATAATCAAGTCTTTTGTAAGAACTTTATATGGGCACTGTCATTCACTCAATGAATTCTTTGGGTATCTACAAAGAGAAGAAAATGAGGAATAATTTTACCTAATAGGGCCTGTTCACACAGAGAATTTAATTTGAATTTAAGATAAGATGCTGAAAATTAAATTTGTATGGCATTATATTCACATGGAAACTTTTAATGCAAATCAATTTAATTTAACTTTAGTTTATTCAGCATCAAATAACCTTGGTTACTTAGGGTGTTTATGAAAAAATAAAAACAGCCAATAAAAAGTGAACATTGTAAATAAGACAAAAGTGAATATTTCCAAGTTCCAAGTTAGTTCCTGTGAAAATTGCATGGTTTCAAAGGATCATAATTATAGAATGCTGTATAAATATATTTAATGTTTATAATAAGAATGATTGAGAATTTTATCCTGTGAATTCCCAGTTATGTTAATTATTTGGACCATGTTCCCAAATTGGCAATTGTTGATGAAACTGAAGTTCAATTACTCAGGGTTGTAGTTTGCTTCCTGAAGTAGGAAGGTAATGGTACCGGCCTCTTGAACACGACCCGTTTTGTTTGCATCAAATTTGTTTGGTTATGCAAGGAGGAAACCTCTTATATGATGTCAGAGCATGAAAAGCCCAGAAAAATATGTCTCGAGACATGAAACCAGTCATAGGTGAAGCTCAGTTTATATAAATATAAACTTTAAAAAAGAACACAGAACAGAAAAATTACAGAGCACATGTTAGTCAACGAACGTGATCATACTTCAGAATTTTTTTTTCAAAGGTAATACTTTATCCATTCCTTCAAAAGTTGAAAAATAAGTCTTGATGTACACTCAGCAAATTGCTGCATGTAGGCTTCACAAGTAAATCTTTACATATAATGAAGTACTTTGCAGTGTAAAAAAAGAAGAATATATGAGATACGTGCAATAAAAGTATGCAAGATAGAATACCCTAAATTACTTTATCCATGCAAAAATATAGTCCAGTTAAAAAATTGTGATTTCCTATATTTCTAGTATATAACACAAAGAAAATAAGTACATGTACATCATCAAGTAATTCTGAACATTGGTTAATTAATTTGGTATTCTTTCTTTCAACAATGTATATGGATATGATATAAATGAAACATCTTTTGAACAAAAATATATCATAGGTACAAGTGTGAAAAAGGTTTTCGTAATTTCTAATTTCCTTTGAGTAGTCAAAGTACTATATCATAAGTATAATCTTTAAGTTTGAATGTAGGCTTGACATTTTGGATCTCATAACAAATGTTGAAGGCATCTTGGCCATTCAATGGTCAACTGATAATTCATATATCTATATATATATATATGCTTGTGGAAATGACAAATACTGAAAACATTGGATGTTAAAAGTGTTTTTGACCTTTAAATCTATGAACCCTTTATGTAAGCATTTCTATGAATACAATGCTAGGTCAGAGAGTGAGTATAATAGCATTATTGTAACAAGAAGTGTAGGGAACTACATTGATACCATCTTCAGCCAAAGAAAGAAAAAAACACAAGTTCACACACCTGGTTTTAAAAAAAGACTAATCTTTAAACGAACAAGATCATGAAATATTTGTGGTTTGAACTGTTCGGGAGCCATCTTACTGAATTTGAAGTCTCGTCAAATGTTTTTAAGTTACATGTATGGACTCATCACAGAGGAATTTAATGGTGTGGTCCCCGAGATGATGTTGTACTCGTGTCTCTTAAGTTGACTGTGATCATTTAAGCAGGGTCCCACTTCTCCAACATTATTTCTTCCTGTTTGTCACTGGCTTAAATTTTTACAATTATAATACTCGGTACAATATTATTCCTACTTGGCTAAAGTTAATTTCAATTGACCACAGTGCCTAAATGATAGTTTCTCTGTAATTTAAGGTAAAAATTAAGTAAAATTTCATTTAATTTTTTACATTAATTTGATATGCCTAATCTTGCAGAAGTTTTTTTTTCCTTTTGAAAAAATAATTTGTCACTTTACTGCAAAATCCTGTACAAATATTGAGTTATGAAATTTTTATAAGTCAACAGGTGTTATGTATTGAATTCATGGATAAATTTTACTTGCCAAGGTTAAAACATTTGAAGGAAAATTAAATATAAAAATAGTTGTTAATTAATTTTTTTTATATTCACAAAAATGCTTTGCTAATTAAATTACTAATATTCTTTATGTTTTACAGCATCTTAGCTCGCCAAGGGTTTCAAATCCAAAATTAAATCCTATGTTGTAGAGTGGATTTCAGATTGGAAACCCTTGGCTAGTGAAGATGATATTATAATTGAAAGAAAAGCACCAGGTGTTAGGATAACCATTGTACTTGAAATTTTACTTTTGAAGCTTCTTGCTGTATGTGAAATAAGTCTGATTGATGTAAAATTTTGAACACGTTTATCATTCATGTATTTCAGCCAACAACTTTAAATCCTCAAATATCACAGGTGACAAGGACACTGTGGATTCATTGAGTAGTGTGGAAATACAAACAAGACAATCTGTTAAACAGGACTGTTAAAGGTAAGGTTTGGCCCACAGGATTACAAGATAAGGTCTATGGTGTAGTACAACCACGCATGGCTGACTGCGTCCAGCAGATGAAATATAAGTAAGGAGTATATATTCGGCCTGACTGAATGCTGTGACCTTATTCTTCTTGTGTGACCTTTCTCTAGGATTATCTGTCTGTCTGTGTGTACACAGTGGATAACATTAATGTTTTAGTTGTGACCTAAATACTGAGGTGAAATTTACCTTTTTAGTTTAACCATGTGGACTAATTTCTGGCCTCTCAGGTAATTCACCTTCTTTAGAGGGAACAAATCTTACTTCACTTGAGAACTGAAAATCCAAAGCTTTCTGAAAACTGTAAAATTAATATTGTTCATGTTCGTGTTTGCATTATGAAATTCTATCTCAACTATGTGAAGAATGTGACAATTTAATGGCGGTATAGTAGGGTAACGGTGGTAAATAAGGACTGATTGTTCATTATTAAGCTTTAATTTTCTACACATTCAACGTGTACATTAAATTTGTGATATTTCATTCATTCTAGTAATGGATATAGTAGTTAAAACAAGTTCTGCAGATTTTAGTTCCGATTTCAATAAGGCCCTTAACATTTTATTACAAAGCTAAACAAACACAAACTAATCTGTTAAGCTTTACTTGCAGGTACCTAGTACATACTTGTATATTTACTACATTTGTTTAATAAATAGTATTAGTTTTGTACATATTCAACAACATATTATATTGGGGGTATTTAAAATGTGAATGGACAGAATAGAAAATGAATTGCACTGAATGCATTAGCTGTTCATAGAGATAAAGTAGCATTTATAAGGTATTTGAGGGTCTGGGAGCCCTCAAAGGGGGATGGATTGAGTCAGAAAACCCTTAAAAACAGGACTTTTAATGAGAGTGGCCAAATCTATGATAGATATGAAATTAATGAATAGGTCATTAAAAAAAAATACATTTATCTATCTATGAGAATTATCATTGAAATTCATTAAATATTGATCTTGTAACTAATTTTGTATGATGACAGGCCAGGCCCTCATGGACAGCTCTTGATTGAAAAAAAAATAAATTTGTGTAGTAAATTGAAAGATCAGAGTAAGAATTATAGAGAAATCAAAGACACCTTGTTTGTAGACAGTAAAATAAGCATGTATTCATGAAAGCACACCTGAATCAATTGTCTGGAATTTTTTGACATTTATATTGGGTATTTTCTTGTATGCATGTTGTCTACTTCCTTCTTCATGGCATTGTTATAAACAGAGACTGTTCAGCATAAAGATGGGGAGATTATGCATGCATGTGCATGAGTACAGAGAAGATTTGGCCATGCATAGACTTGCTAGTTATGTTCCCCAAACGAAGTTGGGGAACATATTGTTTTTACTCTGTTTCTTATTATTATTATTATTATTATTATTTTTCTTCTTCCTGGGAAAATCTTTTCCGCGAATGATCTTGTAAACTACACATCCGACTAAGGTGAAACCTTTTTAGGGTCAGTAGGCATGTTATGTAGATTTGCGGAACAAAGGTCATTTTGCGCGCACGTGCAACACGTGAAATGACCAATATAATAGATATAGCCGTAACTTTTCTATTTTTTGATTAAATGCTTTGAAACTCATAATATAAGTATATATTAGTAGTACAGACGAGATGACATGGTCAAAATAGCAAGATCTCACGCGCATGCACGTGCGCTTCGCTCTGATTGGTTGAAACTAAAGTCTCAATATCTTTCTTGTTTTTTGACAAAATCTTTTGAAATTTTGAATATAGTCATACATTAGGGAGATCTATAGCCTGATATAAAACAATTATCATGAAAGCATGTGCATGCACGTGTGCTTGCAAGAGTGCGCACGTGCATCGCCAGAAATGTCCAATATAATTGATACAGACGTAACTATTCTAATTTTTGATGAAATGTTTTGAAACTTATAATATAAGGATATATTAGAAGCATAGACTAGAGAACATGGTCAAAATAGTAAGATCTCACGCGCATGCACGTGCACTTCCCTCTGATTGGCTGAAACTGAAGTCTCAATATCTTTCTTGTTTTTCGACAAAATCCTTTGAATTTTGAACATTGTTATACTTTATAAAGGTCTACAGCATGGTATATAAGAAATATCATGAAAAGCATGCGCATGCACGATTGCTGCTATCTGATTGGCTGAAAATTTAAATGTCTATAACTTTCTTAGTTTTCAACGAAACGGGATAAAATTTAAAATATGAATAGGTATAATGGATTCCTACATTATGGTACTATCAAAATTGAATGCACGAACATACTTTCATGCACGTGCGCGCGCGAAATACGCAAAATGGCCAATTTAAAAAAAAAAACATTGAAATGTATATTGTAAAGATTTTTTTTATTTATTCTCACGATATATAGATATGTTAATTGTTTAGACAACATGCCGTGATCATCTTGCATGTACATGCACGTACGTGCACATACAATGCGTTAAATGACATACAGTTGATACATGTATCATTGTAGCTTTTATTATTCTTTGATGAAATCCTTCGATACTGATAGTATTTTTTAAATGTCTTACAGGAATTAAGCACTAAAAGGGATTTGGGGAGCGTTTGGGGAACATCTGTAACGGTCCCCGTTACAATTAGCACTAGTTTCCATTGAGACTAGTGTGACATATTGTCCCTTTTCCTCTCTATGAAACCACTTTTTATTTAAAAATTTTTAAATCATCTCGAAAAATGAAGCTGAAATTCTGTAAAATTAATTTGTCCCATAAATAAGCTTGCTAACATAAATAGTACATGTATATATTAAGTGTAATCTGCTAACTGAGTCATATGCCTCAAGTAAAAAAAAAAAATGTCTAAATTAAGCCATTGTTAATTTGCTGTATATTTATAAGTTTTTCTTCTCCCCCTCATTTTTCACCTGCCAGTTAACATAACTAAAGAGTATAAATAAAAACAGCATGATCTGCACATGGCGCAGGGAACAGGTAGCTAGCTGTAGCCACTTCTGTGTGGAGTGATGCCAAGCACATGTTATCCCCCAGTTAATGTGTGGGGGGTTAATAATTGATGGGATTAATGGAGCATCTTTACTTTATATTCTTAACTACAAATTTCTTGACAGTTGATAGTTTGGTGAACATTCAGGAGTTCGTTTAAACGTATTTGTATATTTTTTCCCCTGGATTTTATTTGTGATTCTGGAAGTGAATAGTGTATATTGACACAATATAATTTTGGTATGTCTATCAATGGAAAAAGATATTTCTAGTTACCTGTGTAGAAGTCTCACATATTGATTTGCTCATTTAGCATTCTTTGATTTTCAATTTTCAGTTTTTTTTAAATTTGAATGAAAACAGAGTGCATTGAGTCACTTCTCCGATCTTGCATTTTTCCATCATTTTAATGCCTTTGGGCAGTATCCAATAGGTTTTTTAAAATGAATTCTGCCGTCTGTCTAATCAAAGTGCCATTCCTATTTTATCTGGGAATTCCTATCATACTCTTGTTTAATTTAAATCAACGTTACGTACTTTATGATAACATTATGTAATCAGAGAGAATGTCTTTATTGTTTTATATCATTAAGTTTTGTTGCTCATTTTACCTCAGTGTGTCTTGTAAAGCAATATACATAAGGATGCACATTGCCTTATTAACTTGACCCTTCTGTGGTTTGGTAATTAAGCCTAATTGCTGTAAGTGATTAAGACTGAGTGATATATGACAGCTATATCTCTTGAACTGCCAGATGAATTGTCCATAATTAACCCACTGTACTTTATTTAGTAACTGAGTCTGTACTTTGCCTTTACATGCTACACTGTTCTATTTTTTAGGATTTTCTGACATTGACTAATTGGAGTGGTCCAACGATTCCTTTGAAGTGCATTGATTTTTTTTTCTCTGGCAAACAATAGCAGAATTCCAGGATTTTTTGCTAAAAGTTCAAAGGTAAGATTCAGGAATTATAGGCTCAGAGGCAATGCCTAGCTGTGTTATATGAATGAGCTTGATTTGAGACCAAAATGCATTTAAAAAACAGGACAAATTAAAAGAAACTGACTTGAACTCAGCATTGTCAGAACAGATATCCATTGAAACAAAAAAAGTATTGTGTGATAATCTTATCCAGGTTAAAGGTTAAAACTACATGTTTTGAATTTTGTTTGATTGAATACATTCATGTATAATTACATGAATTTTAACTTACATACTGACTACGACGTTTAAAAAATTAAGGTTCAATGAAGCAGAATATCAAATTAAAATCTTAAAGATCATGGGCTGATCTCATGTCTGTAAGAAATTAACCATAAATTTCTAATTGCGTGATTTCCGTATGACCTTAAGCTATTCTTTTCTATTCTATTCAAACAAAAATTTCAACTATTCAGTGGAGCATTTGTACCTGTCATGAAACTAAGATCTATTTTTATGATAAATCTAGGGGGATCAATTAGTTGTTGATTTATTTAAACTTAAAAAATAAAAGTCAACAATGTGTGTTTTAAGTCTTAAGGTATCAATGAATATTATTTCAGTTTCTATAACTTAATTCTGTCAGCCATTCATTTTCATGGATGATCTCAGCATTAGATCTAAAACTTAATCTGATTTACTTTGAAGTTAATGGTTGATGGAGACTCATCATTCATTCATAAATAGTTCGCCTTGATGAATTTTGAAGACATATGTGCTATAGAAGTTTTACTTAATTCACTACTGAGAATTGGATTGGGATAAATTTTGTACAAAATGAGTTTAGTTTTAATTAATGTTTGGCAATTTGATACTGGTATATGTATATTATGAAAGATAATAATTTCATAATAATTATAATCCATATGAAACATAAATGAGGGCTAGAAAAAAAAAAAAAACCATCAGAGAACCTAATTGTTTCCGGGGAAAGTTGCCTAAAAAGGTGAGGGCACAAATTAATCTGTATGGATAAAATAAGTGGCCTCTTTTAGTTCTATAATTGTGCACATTTATACCAAAAACTGAAAGTTAGTACACTTAATGTGTCAATTCCCAATTTAAGCTTATGTTACTGTTACTGTGTACACTATTAAGATTTTTTTTTCCCTTTTGTTTTGGAAACTCAGAGTGTCTAGAAGTTATTAGTGCAGCATGAATTTTATATGATTCATGTACATATATATTTAATTCATACAAAAATTCATATAAGTATGTAACAACCAGTATGTGATAAGTGCATGGACACAGTTTTCATGGCAACACATTTATTCTTGAATAGCAGAAAAACACAACTGTTAAATGAATAGAGATTAAAAAAGAGATGCTTTGATATATAGTGCCCTTTTATTACGGTATACATTTACCAATAAATGCAAGGTAGTATAAATGGATAGTTAACAGCTTTTCATTATGATCAAACAATACAGAAACATTTCCTATATACTCTCTGGCACCTGTAATTTGTTATTTGAAGAAGAATTAAGGTACATCTTTATCATGTCGGACATACGTAGCATACTAATTGATACTAGCAGAGCCTTTGTGAAACAGCAAGCGCCCTTTTGTTAATTAGAACACTATTTAGATAGAAAGCAAAATATTTATTAGTTGGCAATGGATAGGAAATAGTTGAGTAACTATGGATTCTGTGTGAATTCTGCTGACAGGAGTCTATAGTAGATCAAATCATCTGTGTATTGATTGGGTCACCGTGAATCAGGGAGGCAGGGTGATCGTAAACCCGAGTACGTAAACCCGAGTACTAGGTTAGTACGGTAGGAAAATCGCGTGGATGGATTAGCCTCAGGTAAGGTAGACGTAACAGAGACTTATAGAGCCTGACTTAATTTGTGCAGTTAAACTACAGTTATTTATTATTTTGTCCTCAAGGTGGTGCATGCTCATAATTTATTAACTCAGAATGCCGGTGAAAATACACGTGTATCTCAAATGGTTTTAGCATCAATTGGATATGTGTATTTGTTCCTAGATATATTAAGCAGGATCAAAGAATGATTTTATCAGGTTGCTTAATTAGTACTATTTTATTCTGATCAGTGTGTAGAAATTATCATGTCTATTGGTTTCAAACTATTAAAGCTTAAAGATTTAAGCAAGTGTGGATAAAGTTATGATCATAGGTATATACTGTACGTAATTTCTTGCAGTTGATAGTAAATTAATGGAAAATTGTAGAATAAGGTAACATATATAATTGCAGATTCAGTCAAGAATTTTTTAAAAATTACATATCAAATCCTCAGGATGAAATTCTGTTTCCTTCTGCTATTTTCACTCTTTTTTTTACTTGTATGAGGAAGTCAGTTTGGCTCTGTTACTCTCAGTTCATTAAGTATTGATGGATCAAATCAATTTCTCTATTTCTCGGTTCCTACTCTATTTGTAGACGGTTTAGAATCAAAGGTCCAGACAATTAATGCAGAGAGCCCTTGGATGTTGGGGACTATTGTTCACTTGTTAGGACTTGCCGTAATTCTGAAGCAATCTTCCTTTCATTGTTATGCCATGAATATTGATACATTAATCAGCTTTGCAGATGCTGATTTTATTTGATATAATTTAATCAGAGTGTGACATTCTCAGAAGCTTTTTCTGATATGATTTTTTTTTTAGTTAAATATGAGTTAACAATTTACATTGGATGTATGTAATTAAAATGGAGTATGTGTTTATTTGGATTTAACATATAACTTGTAAATAGACTTGAATTTTAAGATGTTGACTTAGAGGAATTCTTAAATATAAATTTGGTGCGTTGTACTGTCCAACACAAAAATATAGGTATATTGATTGAAGTGTGCAGTAAATGCTGAGATTTAAATGTTTTAAAATATGTTAAGATAGAATCCTTCAAGTTATTTTGCTATGGTGGGTTTGAGTATTTGTACTAAATATTAAAAAGGGAAACTCATACCTATTTTTGGCACTTGTGGGCTGTAAATTCATTGGATCTATAAATTTAATTTCTGGATTCTTTGCAAGTCAATTAAAAAAAAATTAAAAATAAACTGAAAAGAAGCAAATCTAAGATTTTAATAATAACGTATAGACTCAAATGCTAGGAATTCAAGTGGAATCATTCATTGGGAATTTAAAGATATGCTTGTGTAATTGAATTGAAATCAGATAGAGTTCAAGTTACATGCCTTTGAACTGTAAATCATTTTATAGAGCATTCCTCTTCAGCTACTGTGAATCATTAAGAGAATGATTTTGTGTAGGCAGAATAAGTTATGTTATAGAGAGTTTACCGTGATATTTCTATCTCAGTGATTCAGTCAGTTTGGTCCCAGGGGCAGGGAGGAGAAAAACTTGATGTTTGCCGATTGTAACATGTAGGCCTCGATCCACGCTGTTTTTATTACATGCACAATAGTAATTTATTAACTCAGGAAAAAATGTTACTTTGCAATGTATTCTATATATGCTCACTGATTCACGTACTTTGATCCCGAAAAAAAAATTATTATCATGAATTAAGTTTAATATAAAATCAATTTTATATATTTTTTGTAAAATGTTGTGTCCAAAAAGCAGTTTAATGCCAAGCAGAATACAGTGTTTCAACCAAACAAAAAAGGAACACAAATTAAGAACATGTACCCTAGTAATTTTCAGGTAAAAATTGTCAATCAGTCTTAAAACTGCATGAGATTTAAGTAGAAGACATAAACAGAAAAAAAACCTGTTAGCAGACACTAATTGGCAATAATTTATGTCAGTAATAGCATTATTGTATTCCAGCTGACAAATTCTGTGCAGAGTATATTCAGCATTCGTTCCAACTATTCATGCACTGATTATACATACATTTAAAATCTAAGGTCTAAATATTTAAAAATCATCAATATAGGAATCTATACCTCTGATAATGATGAATTTAAAGTACTTCTATACTAGATCTTTATAATTACCAGGTATTCACCTAATAGGGGATACATATTTATATAAATTTGGTTCAAACTTTTGTTCAAGTAGTTATGAACATTTACCATATGGTATGGCCAAATGAAAGGTTAAATATCACACCAAGTATTCAATCAAACTGTTTACCATTTGAATTGTTAAATATTATCAATAATTCAAATGGGAAGCAGCATGATATTTGATGTCTGTGAAATATTAATATAAGATTTTCCATACTAAATAATTGGAGGTCAGGTATGAGTTTCTTGTGTCATGTGTTCAACACAAACTGAGTAGATACCCGATTCTCTTTGAATTCTTTCAAACATAAATACTGTATATAACATGCTTTTAATCTCATACACTAATCAGCCATTTTTGGAACCCTTACGTTGTGGCATTTTTAATATTTGAATGCGAGCAAAGAAAATGGTAAATGGTTGTATAATTACTCAGACTTAAAAAACAATTGTAGAAAGAAATTTCTCTCTCCATGCTTTACTTAATTTTTGTGCACTAGTGCAGCTAGGGTGCAGATATATATTCTTTAAACATGTATGAAGGTGAATAAATGTTATAATTTATCATGTTTGTCTTTCAGAACCTAGCATTTCCAGATGACTGTTCATCTGAACACAGAGAGGTAAAGAAATGCATCAGCTGTTACATCTGATTCTGGTTGTGCTACCCTCACTGTTGACCACTACAAGTAAGTATATACACAAGAAATATCCGCACCTCTAGATAAATTCTTTATCAAAGGATCTTTTAAATGGCTGGAAAAAAAGTAGAAAGAAGTGCTCTTATTTGTGCATGACTTGATAAAACGGAGCTGTTTAATTTATAATGGTAATGGCTGAACTAAATCATACTTACAAGTAGAAAATCTTAATAGTGTAATTCAGTGATATCCCATTTAAATGTGCAGATCGAGTCATGATTGTATTATATGTCACTACAAATTCCATACAAGGAATTAAAAGCATGTTTCAAAGATACTTCCTGACTGCTAAGTTCCAGTATAAACAGAAAGTATATTTTAAGTGCAATTAGTATGCAACCATCCATTCTAGTAAGTGGGATTAAAATTCTTCAACCTGTTTGCATACCTTATGAATTTATTAATACACAGATACCTACGCAATCAATCACCTGGATCAAAGATCAAAGTCAAAAGAATTAACTTCATTGCAATAAAAAAATAAAATGTTCTAGTTTCTCATGGAGTAGGTGTAAAGCAATCCATTGAAAATTGACTCCGTCATCATTCTTAGCATGTTCATCATGAGCTTTGAGTATTTGCTGTTACTTGTTATTTTACTTAGTTCATCATCACTAGGTTTAGAGGAACTATGTGATAATCAAGGTACTGTGATCATAGTTAGAAGGTTTTATATGATAATTTGCAATTAGAGATAACTTTGTGATAAAGAAAGGTTTTTTTTGTTTGAAGAAAACATTGTGGAAGAAGATGAAGTCAGGTCATATTGCTTAGGATATTACATTTACTTTTTTGCCGGAATTCATGTGATGTAGAATAAGAGTTGATATTACATGGAAGGTTTACATCTTTCACCAATTTTTGTACAATGGATAATTTTAAGTTAACAAGGTTTTAATGATTTTTATTGGCCTGTTGTAGATGGTTGTGGCAGAACACCAGCTACTCCTCGTCCCACCACTGCAGCGCCAGTGACAGTTACCACCACATTTGTCAGTCACCGCAAATCGTGCTCAGCCAATGAAACGCAGGCCCAGGGTTGTCTGAATGGAGGGACCTGCTTTGCGTTAGAGATTGAAGAAGGGGAAGAGAGAACTACACATTGTCAGTAAGTGTTAGAGAACTATCCATTGTCAGGAAGTGTTAGAGAAACCTACCTATTGTTAATAAGTGTTAGAGAACTACTCATTGTCAGTAAGTGTAAGAGAACTATCCATTGTCAGGAAGTGTTAGAGAAACCTAGCTATTGTTAATAAGTGTTATAGAGGACTACACATTGTCAGTAAGTGTTAGAGAACTATCCATTGTCAGTAAGTGTTAGAGAAACTTACCCATTGTCAGTAAGTGTTAGAGAAACTTACCCATTGTCAGTAAGTGTTAGAGAAACTTACCCATTGTCAGTAAGTGTTAGAGAAACTTACCCATTGTCAGTAAGTGTTATAGAGGACTTCCCATTGTCAGTAAGTGTTATAGAGGACTTCCCATTGTCATTAAGTGTTATAAAACATACTCATTGTCAGTAAGTGTTAAGAAACCTACCTATTGTTAATAAGAGAGACTACACATTATCAGTATGTGTAAACTTACCCATTGTCAGTAAGTGTTATAAAGGACTTCCCATTGTCACTATAAGGGTCATAAAGAACTACCCATTGTCAGTAAGTGTTATCGAGGACTTCCCATTGTCATTAAGTGTTATAAAGAACTACACATTGTCAGTAAGAACTATTGTAAAGAGAGCTAGCCAGTATCAGTAAAAGTTAGAGAAACTTACCCATTGAGAACTACACATTGTCAGTAAGAACTATTGTAAAGAGAACTACCCATTATCAGTAAAAGTTAGAGAAACTTACCCATTGTCAGTAAGTGTTATAAAGAACTTCTCATTGTCACTAAGTGTCATAAAGAACTACACGTTGTCAGTAAGAACTACTGTAAAGAGAACTAGCCATTATCAGTAAAAGTTAGAGAACTACCCATTGTCACTAAGTGTGGTAGAAAACTATCCATTGACAATAATTGCTATACATTTGCATAAATATTGTGATAGGAGAACTACAAATTGTCAATGTTGTTGAAGCTACCCATTGTCCGTTACTGGAAGTTTAAGAGAACTACCCATATTCATTAAATTCTGTGGTATAAAGAACTATGCATTGTCTGTAAGTGTTATAGAACTATGCATGGTCAGTTAGTGTTGTGGTAAAGAGAAGTACCTATTGTCAGTAAGTAATTTAGAGAACTACCCATTTTCAGTAGGTGTTGTAGAGAACTATCCATTGTCAATAAGTGTTCTATCCTTTATCAGTAAGTATTGTTGAATGGAGATTTATTTTTGTGGTATTGCAAACTCCAAATATTTAGTAAGTGTTGTGATTCAGAGTTTTGCAGTAGAGAACACCACCCACTGTCAGTAAGTGTGGTAAAGACAACCAGCAATTATCAGTAAGGTATAGAGAACCAACCAATTGTCAGTAAGGTAAAGAGAACCAGCAATCGTTGGTAAGGTGAAGAGAACCAGTAATTGTCAGTAAGGTAAAGAGAACCAGCAATTGTCAATAAGGTAAAGAGAACCAGCAATTGTCAGTAAGGTAAAGAGAACGACCCATTGTCAGTAAGTGTGGTAAAGAGAACCAGCAATTGTCAGTAAGGTAAAGAGAACCAGTAATTGTCAGTAAGTAATTGTCAGTAAGTGTGGTAAAGAGAACCAGCAATTATCAGTAAGGTATAGAGAACCAGCCAATTGTCAGTAAGGTAAAAAGAACCAGCACTTGTCAATAAGGAAAAGAGAACCAGCAATTATCAGTAAGGTATAGAGAACCAGCCAATTGTCAGTAAGGTAAAGGAGAACCAGCAATCGTCGGTAAGGTGAAGAGAACCAGTAATTGTCAGTAAGGTAAAGAGAACCAGCCAATTGTCAATAAGGTAAAGAGAACCAGCATTTGTCAGTAAGGTAAAGAGAACGACCCATTGTCAGTAAGTGTGGTAAAGAGAACCAGCAATTGTCAGTAAGTGTGGTAAAGAGAACAAGCAATTGTAAATAAATGGGGTATAGAGAACCACCCATTGTCAGTAAGGTAAAGAAAATCATCCATTGTCAGGAAGTGTGGTATAAAGAACCACCCATTTTCAGTAAGTTTGGTATAGAAAACTACAACTTGTTAGTAAGTATTTTAAAAAATTGCTCACTTGTTACAGGTTTGTTGTTGACTATCAATTGTATCTATTTTAAAGATGGCTTGTTATGATCAACCCAATATATAATCTTTTAAAATTGAATAATTTTATTGTGCCAGTCATGCTTGCTGCAAAAATATTAGATGATTGAATTTAGAATCTACAGTAAAAATCTTTTTTTTGATTGACAGTTTGACTTTTAATCAAGATTAAAACTCTTTTTTTAGATGCCAAGAAAATTATATTGGAAAAACCTGTTTCTACATTGATCCAACATTGATATTTCAACGTAAGTACAAATTGAATTTGAAATATTTATAGAAATATTAGTGTTGCTTAATTAATTTTACACAATACAATTTTTTACTCTTTTACTACATGCATAACAATTTACTGCTTAAAATAGAATTCTTTTGTGTTGACATCAACCTAGAAATTTACTGTTTTTACTCTGGGACATTTTGTCATACGTAAAAATGACTTATTGCATATCCCATTATACATTATTCAATATAGCATTGACTCAATTAACAAAAGACGTGCTTTTGTCCTCACTAGTAGTGTTCAGTAGGCTACAACAGTGTAACACTACCAGCAGTAGAACTTTTTTTCAATTCAACCACATGAAAAACATTGCCTAAGATTTTTCTGTGAATTATTTATAGGATGGGGGAATTTAATCTCTTTGCTACTGTCATCTGTTGTAAATGGCCTTTTAAATTTTCATTTTCAACACTAACACCAGGTGCATTTTGAAAGAAAATTATTATTAAGTATAGTCTGCACTGCAGTATTGCTGGTCACTGCTTTGACAGACTCTAGATTAGTGTTTCAATAATTTATAAATCTCAAGTGACTCTATAGACTTCATTATTTTATTTTTTTCTCATCATTATTTTATTTTAATTATACTATATAAACATTCAATGACTGTATTACGTACACTACATTACACTTAGTAGCTCCATTAAAATACCAAGTCTCTGTATCCCCCCCCCCAATGAATATGTAAAAGTAAAAAAAAAATATACATTTTAAAAACAACTCCTAATTTAGGCTTAAATATCATAATAAATTGACTTTAAACAAATTTTCAAAGCTTTTAGAAAAGCTATGTATATAAAAATAATAGTTCCCCCTTTCAAATTGCAGTATATGTATTAATTTGCTGCTTAATAATTGAATACTGTATTTCAAATATCCTTTGAAAAGAAATTACAAAATTATAGAAAGTCACAATAGTCTTGATATTTTTTTGGAAGTTTTGAAATTAAAAATTGGTAGATGGTTTTTTGATGTGATCAACAGTACATTACATTCAAGAGTCATGCTGATGACTGCATTGTTACCGCTTCATTTTTTAAAAAAATACTTGATAAAATTGATAATAAATGTTTTGTGTGTATGCCTTTTATGAAATATTTATTGCACTTCAAATATAAAAAAATAAAAGACACTGCAAATAAAAAAAAAACAACATTGAACATACTTTATAATCTATAGTTTCAGACATTCTGCAAGTATTTAATAATATTTATTATCAGATGTACCAAATATTAAACAAATTAAAAGGACCATTATTTTTTATGTATAAAAGTTACATTGTGATTTTATTTAATAAAGCATTTTTGCAAGTGAATAAAAATTTTGTTAATTGATACAATTTAATTACCTAAAATAATATTACATTTTTGTAATTTATTGAATTATAGGCTCATTGTGTAAGTTCACAAACATATGTCTTTATTTCTTCTCAGTCTTTTTTCCTAATTAATGCTTATAAACTAAACAATTCACTTTTCATGCATACAAATAATATTAATTTAATAATTTTTACTATTATTTCTCCAGAAATTAAGAGTGAATTAGCATGAAAAGTGAAAATTGTATATGAAATATGTAATTGCTTATACTCATTAACTATTATATTAACTATTTTGTTTATAAACACACTTTAACTTGCTAATATAATTTAATCAAATATTATATAGTTTACCTTAAGATTTTTCAAGTATGAATTTCAATACATGTATTACCCATGTTATATAGGTACTGTGTACACTCTGCGTTCGGACAGTTTATGCTTAATACATACATCCATATATTGGTTTGTTTGTTTGTTTGTTTTTAAACATAAACTGACCCAATCCAGGTTTTATGAGTTGAAAATGATTTGAATAGTTTTTAATTTCAATATTTCCACATGATTTTTTTTTACCATTGAGTGAAGGAAATAAGAAGATCTGTAATTTAAAAAAAGAAAATAATCATATCATAATATCATAAAAGATATGTCATATAGCATCACTGTATAATTTCTCTACATGCATAATGTTCAATTTAGGTATATATATATGTACATGTATCAATTTTTAACTCCTAAACCAATTAATCATCATTTAACAAATCATTAATGCATATATCTCAGTCTAGGCATGGATTATAAAAAATTGTCTGCTATGATAATGAAAGAAAAAAACAAAACAATCAAACACACAGATTGGACAAAATATTTATATATACACATCACCAAATAGACTTACTTTCTTGCTTTTGAAAAGAATCTGAATGAAATCAAGAAATGATTCAAATTCATATAAAATGTTGGTTGAATGGAGAAATAACTTTATTGTTTGGACTATAAGAACAAACTATAACCTTTGGCCTAACAAATCAGCTGGGTTACTCTTGAAATTAACTATAATGTGTTATGGAGGTGACTGGTGTACTAAGCATTAAGATCACTGACTTTGGAGGATATTGGGATAACTTCATTGCAAGCTTTTAAATTCAATGCAAAATTAGCTTTTATCTGTGGAATTTTCTGTATATAATAGTCTTGTTTTTGCCTGAAATATTATTGCAATATCTTTTCTCTTTTGCAACTGCAAAATTTATTTCACCTGCAAATGCAGTGCATTAAAAGAGAGATAATTCATTTTGGCATTTGCCATTTTGAATTTGCCACTTGGCTGAAAGGGACAAAATTTTCTCTGTATATACATGTAATATACTTTTAAACACTGAATGTAATTTATCGTGACCTATATAATTCACAACAAGGCACCTACACCTCTCTATCATGCTCTATTTTATGTACAATGTATATTAATTCTGACAGTACATTTATATATATGTGTATGGTACATTATGAAATCATAAATTTTTAGTACATAAGATAAAATTTTTAACATGTTTGAATCACCAGTTAAACAAGACAAAAAACATTTAAGGGGAATTTTGCTGACAGAAAAAGGCAGCAGCTATAGCAGCCAGTGTGGTGGGAATTGTTCTCTTTGTCACCGCCATTGTGTGTGTCTTAGTGCTACATATAATATGTGTATGGTACATTATATTGTATGTGTTCAAATCATAAATTTTTAGTACATAAGATAAAATTTTTAACATGTTTGAGTGACCAGTGTTTTATTTCGGTTTCTTTACTTTACAGGGGAGAGGGATGACAGAGTTAAGGCAGCAGCTATAGCAGCCAGTGTTGTGGGCATTGTTCTCTTTGTTACCGCCATTGTGTGTGTCTTAGTGCTACGTAAAAGGTGAGTCTGTCTGGTCAAGCATTTATATAAAGCATCTTCCTTTGTAATGTTTTTAAAATACTTTCAGAGAATTCAACTAATAGTAAGGTTTTCATCCATCTGTTTGTCTGTATACAACTTTTCAAAAATATTACTCTTACATTTTTGCTCAACCTATTTCAATATAACTTGGCACACAGGTAGTCTACCTATAAATATACATAATTCTGACTGTATATCAGTTTTTGATTTGTTGAAAGGTATTGCCATGCATTTTTAATAAATGTAGCAGTTTCTGTAAAATACTTTCATAATTCTACTCCTGCTACAGTTTTTGTCTGTTGTAGCTTGGATTTTCAGTAGACTTTACTCTGATACATTATTCTGTATATTGGCTTTGATTTCAATAAACAGTGTTGTAGTGGTTTCTAAATAAGGAAATTTTAGTAAAGTCCTATTTTAGGCAGTCGGTCAGAAGAGGGCAAAAACAATTTTTTTAAGATGGCCTAATTAACAGTTGTATAAATTTTAATAATAGATACCTCAGGAGGAAAGAAATGGAGAAGAAGGAAAAGGAGAAAGAGCCTTTGAATGATCTTGAACAGGTATGCTACAAAGGCAAGTGAAATCATCATTATTATTGTTTAATTGCTTTGTTTGTAACGTTTTCCAGATTGTTTGATTAAAAAATATGTAGATTAATTCAAATATGCATATCATTTTTAGAAAGATATTTTCATACCACATGCATCTGAGATGCAGTGGTCATGTGAATTTAGTGTAGATTAATAAATTTTTTCAACACATAATTTTGAAAAAATAGTATTTTTTTTAACGAGTGCATAAATTTTTACACATCTAGCTGTATATTATCTTAAACAATTTATATATTATTTTTAGAAACAATTTTGCAGATTTAGCCAAAAATAAAGTCACTGTGACTAAAAGTATATATATATTTAAAAGACTTAAGTAAATAAAAGTTTATTAACAGACATTTTAACTTTGGTTGCAGGAAACAGTGCCTAGGGGAGACAATGAGGGATCAACTCTCATGAACGGTGGCCATCAAGTCAGTTCTGTATAGCATTAACACTGACCCACTGATAACTCAGAAGGACATTTAGAAAATTTAACTTCTCAAGTGAAATAAATAAAGCAGCTGCATTTCATTGTGATAGTGACACATTTAAAGAGCTACAGTGTGAGATTTTGTGACTTTTGAAACAATGTCTTTCCTATTTTTGCATTTATCTCAGACGCAAGATGTGAAACACAAACTAAAAAAAATGGAAGCAAGACAGTGTGCCATGATTGTGAAAGTTTACAAAACTTTTGGTAAACCCAGTGATACAGTGAGAGTGCACTGATATTTCTCTACATTATCGTGTATTGCAGAATTTATTATCTATATACTCATTTTAATGAAATCCAACAGACAGAGCAGCCAAAAAGAGATCACACATACCTTCATCAACAAATCAAAGCCTGTTACGCACAAAGGACTGAGAGAATTTTAAATGAAAGCATTATGAGATCAAAAATAATTTCAAAATATTTCAAAATGGCAAATATAAATTTTTAATTATAATTGAGAGTGGCTAATGAATCTGTTATTGGCTTTATTTTTAATTAAGGGGTTTCCACAAACCCTATTGCTAGGGCATATAATGTTATGGGTTTCTTCTTTATATTTTTAATTTGATTGAGCTTTTTTGACTCCTTTTAAAACTAATTATTTTTGTGATATATTGTTTTTTTGACATATAATTTATATTAGCATACTCTCACATGCTTTATAATAACATATGAAAACAATAAATGACTTATTTGCAAACAAAATAATTTGATCCGAAACATTTAACTGGTCAAAATTTGAATGTCCATATGTTTATTTAAATATTTGTCACTACAAACTATTATCTGTACCAAACAAAAAAATCCTACAAAAAAAATACATTTATTCGGACAGTGTATACTGATATAACATATGCATTAAGTATTTAGGTAAATTATCTTGTATAAAACAGAGAACGTTATTTTTACATGAGTTGTAAAATTGCAATACATGTACATTGTTTTTCTGTTTTTATAGATCTTCAAGTTTGGTATTTTAGTGCATATCAATACTTAAGCTTAAATTGTAGACAATCAAAATTATATTCTTATTTTGCTATGTCTATATGTTGAGGATTCTATCAACTAAAAAAAGATATCTGCTTTTAAATTGGATTGATTGAGGCTTTATTATTAGATAGATAGATCTTTTATTGGCAGACATGTTTCGTACTTTGTGTTTGAACAAATATTTTGTACATATTATTTTATTTATTTATTTTATAAATTGAACTTGTGAAGGGTTCATCATTATTGTTGCATATCATTATTAGCTTGTATATCAGTTTGATTACAGCATATAGTTAGGTCTCTTAATAAATTGCACTCAGTTCATACTGTACACTATACTGAGTTCATTGTTGTTGTATTGACATTGCATTTACATCTTTTATTGTGCAATATGTTGACATATTTGAGTTATTCATACATTGCATACTTGTAAAATTACCATATATGCATGTTATCAAAACACTTTATTGTAGGTTACAACATGAAATTATTTACTAAATACATAACTGATTGCAGCTACTTTGCTGTAGTGAAGATCATATCATACCTTGATCCATCATATGCAGTGTCAATACCTTTTTCCAAACATTATGTAAACCATTGACACACAAAGGTTGTATCCAGAAGATGGGGGGTGGGGGTGGTTCAAAATTTCAGAAGCATTGACTTGAATTTTCAAATTGTACAAAATTTTTTTCGTCATCGCGGTTGTAAGTTTATTAATGATGCATGTATTTGATCCTTTGCAGACATTTCATGTCCAGTCTGTATGATTCACAAAGAAATAAATATTTACTTATATAAATGGTTACATAATTGTTTTTGATTATATAGAGAGGAAGAGAGAAAATGTTTCAAACTCTCATTTGGTGAATTCAAATTTTAAAACATGACAGCTATATTAAAAATCAATTGTTTCATAGTCTTTAGTTTCCCATTTACGTTTAATTGACTGTAATTGATCTTCTTTTCTTTCTTTTTTTTTCCCTATTTAATGTTGTTGTAATGTCATGTTTTATTAAATTTAGAATTTACTGCCACCTGGTAAATTCATTTAAAACGAGACAGTAAGATTAATTTTATGTTATACAGTGATAGCTAGTCCATAATGTTGTAAAAAGAAAGGCAGAAATTCGGATTCCTATAAATCCCCAACCAGTCATTTAATATTTCAAGTACCGGTATTGAGTAAAAGGTTTACGTTAATGAAATTTGCATCATCAACTTCTTTGTCAATAGCATGTCTCGTTAGAGAAATTGTTTCTTCATAGAATATGCTCGTGCGTAACAAATACGCATTTTTCTGCTTAATTAAGTCTTTTAATGCTTTGTCATATGTGTAAGAAATTACTGAGCATAGCATGACAGCCAGCTAATACTTGAAAATAGTGGAAGGAGTTATATATTCAATTTAGTAATACCATTTTAAGATTCAATACCCTTTTATAAGAGAGAGAACTCTTTAAAAGGCATTTACGTCTTTTAGAACATCGTTGTGCTAAAGGGTACTTTTAGATATAGTCATTCAAAATTTAAATTTAAAAGGATATTTAATATACAAATGAAATTTATTTGTAGCAGACGAAACCTAAGCTTTGAAGAATGGTTTACTCTTTAAATTCATAGGCGTCGGAACCGGGGAGACTAGGGGAGGTCCCTCTTTTTTTGCAAATATATACAATATATAGGCATTGAAAATTGGATTTACCTTTTTTGTCGGTTTAGCCCCCCCCCCTTTTCGATCAGCCCCCCCCCCAACTTTCAATTTGCTTCCGACGCCCATGTTAATGAAACAATTGCTTCAAATGATTTTAAGAATTTATCTTTTATGAATAAATGAAAAAAGTACAGAAATGAGAGTATATTTAGAATAGGCCAGTTTTAAATTAAATAAGATATACTCTCTCAAATAATATCCGGATAACATAAGTGTATACATCATTGTAGCTGACAGGATGTCTAGCCTTGAGCCGGTTTGTCCTACAACAAGTACTAAAGTTCATCCCAGGTTATTCTAGCACACTAATGTCTATCTAGAAAAATGATTTTGAGGAAGAAATACACATCATCAGAATAGTCGGAACGGATGTTGAATGTTACAGTCACTGACATATGTAAATTTCATATAAAAGTTCTCTCCGTATTTGCCTCTCCAAATAGCCAGTGATTAAACCTTGGATTAAAGAACTTCCCTGGTAAACTGTAAATCAGAACTTTGCATCCATCTATCCATCTAAATGTTGTTTTATTAATAAAATAATATATTTTATTTGACCTTTTTGGTATGAAAAGAACGTATAATTTTATACCCTTAAAAGCCTTTAAAAATCAATTGACTTGACTCATACTTTACCCTCGAATAAATTCATTTACCAGCGTTTTCATTTTAATACTTAGAAATAGACACAAATTTGAAAGTTTACTTCCCCATTTTGCTCCAGAGCAAACTTTCAATCACATTTATCGTTAGTTATGAGATAATGGGTGAATTAAAAAAAGAAATTGAATCAAGAAACCACATGCTATTGTAAACTAGAGGTACTGTGAGCAATGAGCTCACTAAATGATACCCCCGCCTCCCATATGATTATAATGGAAAAGTCCATGTTTTGTTGTGGCCGAGAAACCCCAAATATGTGTCGGATCAAAAAGTAAAATAGGAGGTGCACAATGGCAATATGTTATAAAGATTCTGTAAAAGATTCATTAAATTTCACTCATTGGTATAAGAAAAGTTGCGAATAAGAGATGGGTACCCCAAAGCGTAACAGACGGACGGACATACCGATTTCTATATACCCTCCCACTTTTCAGGCGGGGGGTATAAATACCCTCCCATTTTTCAAGCGGGGAGTATAGAAATGTCCTTTGGGGAAGTTGCTACAAAATCTCTATCTATAAAAAATTTCGGGGTTTTTAAATTAGATGGTTTATATGTTCTTATCACCAGTGACGATCTTTTTTGGATCAAAAGTGATTTTCTTTTCATGTGACTTATGGCAGAATACTTTAAATGTCAACTTTATATTTCCTGAGCTGTACAGGAAAGTATTCAGAATGCATATACATGTATATACATCTACTCAAATCGGCAGTATTTTTTGCTAAAGCATCTGCTTAAGGAAATTTTAAGTTCAGATGAAATTTTAAATAGAGGGATTATAAAGCAATTATAATTTTCGTAATTTTTTTTATAAACTTATTCTAAAAACAGATAAATTTCAAAGTATATCAAGTGATGTGTGACGTGTTTTTTCCGTGTTAGCTGTTTTTACGCCCGATAAAGATTTGCATAAAAGGAAATTGAAAGATATGAAGCACGTTTCTATTAAAACTTTTAGTAAACATTCGGAAGTTACGATTTTCGACGAAAAAGGGGGCATGCGAAACACTTAAGCAGGAAGTTTTGAAATTTTAAAATGTTAGTATTTGGACTATTTCTATTATTTACAGGAACATCGGTACAAATAATAATAAATACAGGTAAGTAATCTTTAAGTAGAGCGATATTATAGTGTTTAAAGCTGGTTTGCTAACATTTTTCAACATTAAAAAAAATTAATATATTGTTTCTCCATTCACGTTATTGATATTCTCATTAATTGATAACAGCAGTAATCGGTGCATTTGAGAATTTAGAACACTCTACCACCAATAAAATTTATGTATAGAGGTACAGTGTACTTTGAGCACTGAGCTCTCTAAACGATACCCTCCGCCTCCCATATGATTATAATGACAAAGTCCATGTTTTGCTAGGGTAGACCCGGAATAAGTGTCAAATCATAAAGTAAAATAGGAGGTGCACAACGGCATCGTGTAATAAAAAATCTGCGAAAGTATAACTAATTTTTATTCAATGGTATAGGCCTGAGAAGTTGCGGATAAGAGATGGATACCCTTCAATATTTTAGAAAGAATGATAGTGTTTGAAACTCTTACTGAGTAGAAGCCTATTTACAATGTAACTAATGTTTAAGAGAGTCAAGGTATTATAGGATGTTGGGCTCAAGTACATTATAAGATGAAAATAGTTCCATTTTTTTCCTCGTAAGAATATATATTTTTGCATATTCATTTATATTCATAAATGTACAAAACAATATAAATTAGAATATATTTTGTATATGAATTAAATGTATGATATTTTAATGAATATTTAGAACCATTGTTGGTGAATTATACCAACCGATTGCATTCTTTATTGCATTCTATATCGTCAACCATGCAATTATTATATCAAATGGATTATAAAATTAATGTACAAAACAAGATATTTAATCTTGCATATGAATTAACTTAAAAGATTATCTGTTCAAACAAATGTTACTATGTTTGCTTAACAGGTCGACAGGTAGACAGGTCGACAGGTTGACAGGTCGCCGGGTTGACAGGTCGACAGGTAGACAGGTCGACATGTAGACAGGTCGACGGGTTGACAGATCGACAGGTAGACAGGTCGACGGGTTGACAGGTCGACAGGTAGACATGTTTATTTAAATATGTAATTCTGTTGACATGTCAACATGTCGTCATAGGTTTGGATTGTCAAATGAAGATGTATACATCTAACTGTTATCAGACATTGTGTGCATATGAAAAGAGAATGGAAATTACACTTTTAGGCATTCAATGTACATGTATCTTATGATATGAGTGACCCCCCCCTAAGATGATACTTGTAGTGATATAACTAAATAAATATACATTGAATTATAAAAAAAAACTGTCTACCTGTCGACCTGTCGACCTGTCTACCTGTCGACCTGTCAAATCGTACAAAAAAAAAATCAAAGTTTGTGTTGTTATTTTAGATCTATTCTTGGTTTTTATTTTACTAAATCATTTCAATCAAGGTGCTTGTAAATATTAATTAAAAAGTAATTTGCATTTATTGTTTTGTACATATATTTATATAAGAATACAATTGATATAATGATACATGAATATTTATGATCTTTCAAAATTATTATAATAACAAAACCGATTTACTGCAGATTATGTGGATGGGACTATTTTCGTCTTATTTTGTACTTGACCCGGATGGGCTGTTGGAAGTGTATCCAGTTATTTTTGTAACCTGCAGTAAGTGCTATGACTGTAAAGGCCGGTATACACGGTATTAAAGATTTGTAATAAAAGAATTGTATTATAATACAAAATTTTATTGTGTATACACTCTTAATACAGTGTTTCATAAGATTTTTCGAATCTTATAAAACTGTATTAAGAATAGAGCAATGCTCTATGCTCTATTTCCTAATACAAGTCTTAACTTACATATCACTTTCAACCAATGAAATGTAATCACTGGGGGTCATCCTATTTTTATAAAAAGCTCACGGTAAATAATAATGGCTGATTTTACAAGTAAAGACATAAAAAACTCGTGGTTTTATGGTTAGGAAAAGAGGACTTGTAGAATATATCAAGCAGTGCATAGTACGAAGATAGACAATGCTATCAAAGTCTCATCCTCCATTTTTATTTTTTTTGACAGAGAGAGAATTATGGCAGGGAAAACATGTTGGAATAAGTAGTTTATTTACAATCTTATAAGACATGTATTAGCGTGAGTACAAGAATGTATTATAATACAAAAGTATTATAATACTTGTATATACTGCAAATCTCATCGTGTATACCGGCCTTAAGCATATGAAATTGATCATTTACCTAAACTCTTGATAAAAGGTCTCTAGGTATAATTGGATGTTGAAACTGATTCTCGGTTATAAAATAAAAAAAAAAACACGTTGATTGTCGTAAATGTAAGCTGTAGAATGTTGTAGTCAGTAACTCAAGGTAGTCCGATCCTCAGATTTATAAAATTAGCAGTTAAGTAATCAAAAATACTCATAAAAGTATCTCCGAATCCACAAAATTATGTTAATTCATCAACAGTATCTCTTTAAAGTTCAAGATTAAAGTTAATCATATTATATATTGGAAAAATTGTCAAATCTCCAATATTCTTGCAGAAAAAGCGAAATGGAATATCAAGCAATGCATGTTATAATTGCAAATAGATCAACAAATATATTTTAGGTTAAAAAATGATTGGTATCCACTATCAGATAAATTGTCATGATTTTTATACTTAATTAGTATTTTTTGTCTTCTATTTCCGTCATGTATTCTATAATACATAGTGAAAAGGGTTGCTATCATTGCAAAACACCACAAATCACTTCTTATTTCATATCATGCTTATAATTATTGGTATCTAAGGCTGGATTCAAGAAAATCATATTTCTTTGAAACTGAATAATTTTTTTTCCTTTTATAGGGTACAAATGTCAACTTTTATAAGACCTTTTCTAAGACTTCAAAAATCTTGAATCTTATAATGATGAATAAAATGAAAATTGTTGCATAAAAAAAAATCATTTTCAAGCTTCATTTTGATGCATTTCAAATTAAATATTTGATATTAATTTTTAGAGTTATCCTTTCTCACTGAGGATCGGATATCCTTAAACAGATAAATCAAAACTTTTGGGAAAAGACCATATCTGAAAGGATAAATGGCAGAGATATGATACATTGAGCCAAAGGAATATTGAAAGTCTTGAAATCAATTACAATTTGAAAATATGCCAACTTAAAAAGTTTTTAAAAATTATTGAGGGATATCTAATGCATAAAAATGCAGTAAAATCTAACCTTTAACCTTTTCAGCCTCTTTTCTGTTATTGCTGAAACAATTTCAACTAATTTTTGCCATAGGATTTATGGACAAAGGGAATGGGATTAAAACAATCAAAATGAATACATTCCTTTTAAAAATCATCTTCTTTACTCCACTTCTTATACCTCTTTTAAAATTGTGAGATTCGTGTCAGATTTCCTGGAGCTAGGGCGGGGCTCTATCGATTTTACAGTAAAAATGCATTGATTGACTAAAAATCTCTCCGCCAGACAATATGTTTAAAACTTTTTCTAGTATATACATGCACGTTGTCGTTATATATGTTAACATGGAATGAAATGTAAAGATAATGAACTGTAATCAAGTGCAAAAGTTCATTTAAAAGAAAACATATTCACAGCAGAGCGATTGGGGACCTTCTAACCAGTGGTGGGACCAGATACCATGAAAGAGTACAAAAGCTCATTGGGCTCATTTTCATAAATTAAAAAAACTAAATTTTCGCGTTAAAACGCGAAACTTTCGCGATATAACGCGCGTAACTTTCGAGAATAAACGCGAAACATTTGCATTATAAGGCGAAACTTTCGCGAATAAACGCGTAACTTTCGCGTTATACTTCCAAACTTTTGCTGTTTAAAACGAGGACATTTGCATAAGTCTTTTAACTTTCTTTTGATTTTGTGATCTAGTTTATTTATAACAATGAAAAGCAAAGGCTATTTTGATCCTGGACCATCACAAGCTATTATTATAAGTTTTCTAGCTATTGAATCCATATTACTGGACACATTTTGTCTTTCTCAACGCTGTTCAATCAATTCAAAGTTTATGAGAGAATTTCAAAAGTTAAACTTCATAATTATGAATTTGCTGTATACCTTCATAGTTCTGACGCTAGTCCACGAACTTTTCAATAACCCCTCGGATATATGATATATATATTGGGAAAAAAGAAAAAGAAACGTAGACCCCTCCTCCTCGATAAATTTTTTAATTAACACTATTCATTTATATTTATTATTTGAAAAGCATCATATGGCACGTGAAGCTCATAAAATGAGACATTGTCCACTCGCTTTAAATCTTTGTTTCTACAGGGTATAATTTTTAGTCCAAAATGATGGATTGCTTAATTTACTACCGTAGAGGTACAGTTGTACTGAATGTTACTGATTAAAAAAACAGCTTGAGAAAAGTGTCAAGTGGAAATTTTCCTAAAATAAAATAATCAGTCTAAAGATTTCTTGAATTCAACAACTGAAAAACATTTCCAAGACAATAAAAATCATTTTGTTAATTGGTAGGGTTTTGAAATAAAAAATTCTGATGACTAATCTATCCTATTCTCGCTTTATTTCTCCAGTGCATCTTCTGAGGAAATGATATTTCATAAATAAATTCATGAAAGTTCCCGTCAGGGTTCATGTTCTTATCTGTCAGTGAAGATAAAGATTCTAGAGTGACATTACTATATGCATATAATAATTTCGCGAAATAACGCGAAAGTTACGCGTTATATTGCGAACGTTTCGCGTTATAACGCGAAAAGTTTTTTTTTTAACGTATGAAAATGAGCCCAATGGGCTTTCGTAGAAGAGTAACAGGCGCGGATCCAGAAATCTTTCCAGTTGGGGGGGGGTCCATCCCAGTCGAAAAAAAAATCCAACCCAGAAATTTCTTGCCAAGCCAAAAAAAAAGTAAACTCGCTCAAACTTCAAAAACTTATTTCGTGGGGGCAGGGAGAGGGGGGTAAGCGATGATTTCTTATGCTTCAAACCATTGACTCTTCATACCAGCTTAACACAAATTTGCGTTTACCAGAGGGGCCTGCGTTTTCCGAAGGGGTCCAAGGTAACTTTTATCTTGCTATGGTATATAAATTTAATAACCTTGCAAATTCCAGGGGGGTCCTGAACCCCCGACCCCCCTCTAGATCCGCGCATGAGTAAGCATCCCTTGTCGACCGATCACATCCGCCGTGTGCTCCTACTCATGATCGGGAAAATGAAAAAAAAATGTAAACAATTCAGCGCTGGTTAGCATTCGACTTAGTGATAGAATATATCATTGTATCGATCTTAAAGCTTTCCTCTACGTATCTATAATAGAATTTGTAAATTTTTTTTACATCAAACGAAATTGTTTACATATCATCAACCTACAAAGTCATTCCTGCTCTTGTTGATCATCGAAAAACTGGGATACATATATAATGTGCATGATATTCATATGAGCTTATTATGGTAGAGTACTAAGTATGTGGGGAAAATGGTATTCAAATCAGTTTCTTATTTAAAATTTTCAAAAAAATAGAACACAGTACATGCAAATATATAGATATGGAATTTGATTTTAAAAAAGTAGTACAGTATTTAGTAAATTTTATTGTTATACCCCCCGCTGGAAAAGCGGGAGGGTATATAGTAATCGTTATGTCCGTCCGTCCCTCTGTTACGCTTTGGGGTACCCATCTCTTATCCGCAACTCCTCTTTGTTATACCCCCCGCTTGAAAAGCGGGAGGGTATATAGTAATCGTTAATTCCGTCCGTCTGTACGTCCGTCCGTCTGTCCGTCCGTCCGTCTGTTACGCTTTGGGGTACCCATCTCTTATCCGCAACTCCTCTCATACCACTGAATGAAATTTGATGCAACTTTCACAGGATCTTTATCACATATTGCCATTGTGCACCTCCTATTTTACTTTTTGATCCGACACACATTTTGGGTTTCCCGGCCACAGGAAAACATGGACTTTTTCACCAGTTATAACCATATGGGAGGCGGGGGTATCATTTAGTGAGCTCATCGCTCACAGTACCTCTAGTTATACCCCCCGCTTGAAAAGTGGGGGTATATAGTAATCGGTATTTCCGTCCGTCCGTCCGTCCGTCTGTACGTCCGTCCGTCCGTCCGTCTGTTACGCTTTATCTCTTATCCGCAACTCCTCTTATACTACTGAGTGAAATTTAATGAAACTTTCACAGAATCTTTATTACATATTGCCATTGTGCACCTCCTATTTAACTTTTTTATTCGACACGTATTTTAGGTTTCAAATAGCAAAACATGGACATTCCCATTATATGTTTACCTATGACGTCACATACAGAAGCTTCTGGATAACATTTGATAGGACGAGTTATTGCAGCCCGGAGGACCGGGCTGCTCTATACATATAAGTTTAAGTGTTGGTGTATGGAGATTGGGGTGGGAGTAGTTATTCAGAAGTAATAATTTTCTAAACATTGAAAAGTTTGTTAATCAGAATGTTTTTTTCCCTTTATGAATTACGAGATACATGATATATTTTCTTCCATAAAGTGAATCTGTAAAAATATATGCGTTTTTCATATGTATCATGTAAAGTTGCTAATCATTTACTATCGAAAAAACGACAGGTCCCCTTTTTTTAAGAATATCGAATTTTTCTTCTCGCATAAAAACGTACTACATATGCACAATTCGTGTTTTATATTCTAAAATTGTAAATTAAATACATTTTTGAATATATTTGATGCATGTGTCTAACTTCGATTTATATTTTATGCAGCCAACATTTACATGTACTTGAGGAATTGATCAAATTTAAAATGGTATTGTTTTTTTTTTATTTTTATCCGATTATGTTTTCTAAATATTCGCGACAATCGTCTCCATCAATAAGACGCATGCCTTTTTACATTTATCGAAGCGGTTTGATGATCAAGACTAATTTCCATTGTTTACTTTATATATTTCCCGGGCGACAATTGATGGTTACATCAATGTTTTCTTGCTCTTCTTTACATATTACCGTAAAACAATGGACATGGACATTATGGGAGGCGGGAGGTATCATTTAGTGAGCCTATTTATTGCTCACAGTACCTCTAGTTTCTATAGTATTGAAGGGTACCCATCTCTTATCCGCAACTCCTCCATTCGACAAAATTTAATGATACTTTCACAGATTCTTTTTAACATGATGTCATTGTGCACCTCCTATTTTACTTTTCGATCTGACACTTATTTCGGATCTCCAAGAGCAAAACAGGCACATTATCATATGGGAGGCGGGGGGGGGGGGTATCATTTAGTGAGCTCATTGCTAACAGTACCTCTAGTTTTTAATTCTGTTAGACCTTTATTATGCCAAATATTTTTTTTTCAAAAAAGATAATGAACCAAGAACCTGGAGTGATGCAAATTCGAAATGCAATCTACTCGGATCAAACAAAAGTGGATTATTTTTTGAACTACCAAATGAATATCAAAACTATATACCACCTAATGGAAATATGTATTGGATAGCTGCAATTCAGATGAGGACAACTCCTTTCAGATTTAACAGTGAGTATGGAAAGAAAAATCTGATTTGAACTTTTTCAAAATTTTTATAGCATCAGAAATTACAATTTAAGAAATTCAGTAAAACTTGACAGTGCCAGGAAGCACGGTCACACAATGTAAGAATAAGCATAAACATTGTGAAGACTTTATATTTACATCCGCTGAATATTTTCTCCTTTATGTCTTAAGAAAACCCATTGCTTTAATCACTGCATGAACTACATTAGGCATGTCGCCTGTACATATTTCTTGATCAGTGGCTGTTCCATCAATGAAACGTATAAAGACGTTCTCATCAATATAAACAATAAAATGTCTTTCTTTGTTTGTTATTACTGGAATGAACGGTCGCAGCTATTGCAGAAAAGAATTACATAACCCGCTTACACGGGTTATGTATTTTTCTGCAACAGCTGCTTCCGTTAATTCCAGTAATAACAAACAAAGAAAGCATTTTATTGTTTAAATGAGCACACACCTCCTTTCTACTAGTACTTGTGTATATAGATCTTCAAAGACCGTCAAATTAAGGTTTCGTCAAAGGTCAACATGTCTAAAAAATTATTTTTAAAATAGCTCCAAAACTATGTGTGGTATAAAGTCAAAATGTTTACAGTTTATAAATATATCATTGATTAATAGATAGAAAGTATCACTTGATAACAAATATTTTTAAAAAGATATTTTTTGAGAAAAATTGTATCAGAAAATGTGCATATTTATAGAAAAATGCACCTGCTTCATTCTGTCTTTTTTGTGAAAACCATCATTGCAGAAATATTATATGTTTATCATTGAAGGGCAAGTTATTGAAAGCATGACATGTATAAAGACAAGACCCCTATAGAATCTGCCATTTGCACTGTACTTTCACTTTCAAGTCTTAACATTTGGACAATATAAACAGGGAAAACAATTTTCCAGAGGCAATCCAAGTCCAACTTGCCCTTCATTGATAAACATATTTTGTTTCTGCAATAATGGTTTTCATTTAGAGCGCGGAATTAATTAGGTGCATTTTTTGAAAATATATGCATTTTTAAGAATTTTTCTCAATTTATATTTCTTCCAAGTATTTTTTTTATCAAGTGATACTTTCTATCTGTTAATCAATGAAAAATTCATAAACAGTAAAAGTCTTAACTTTATATCTCATATAGTTTTGGGGCTATTGTAAAAATAAATTTTATGACATGTTGACCTTTGACGAAACGTTAACTTCATTCATAGCAATAAATACATGAGCAAAGTTGTTTTTTATCTTGTCAATAGAAATACATGTAATTCAAACGTAAAATATACTTCTTAGTTTGAACTACGTACAAATTCTTTATCAAAGGAAGATAATTAAGAATTAGATGGAACCACATATTTAAAAAGAACCATATGGTTAGACACGTTCTTTGCATAGAAAAACGTGTGATATTTTCAAAAACAGCAGTCTATCATAAGTCCTATTGGTATGTAATCATCTCCAGTCAGTGTAGATAAACTTGCTCGTCATTACTCTCGGGAGGCTTTAGCCAAAGTCGATGAATAAAGTATGACATAGGAAAATCTTGAAAAATCTTCTTTTCATAAACAGCAAATTTAACATAATTATTAATATCTAAGTGGAAAAATTCTCAGCTAGTGTAGATTCAAATCATGTCCCCCGATGATACGTTGGGGCCACAAAGGCCATTCGGCTATTAATACATAAATGTCATGAAGTTCTTTTTGATTTTGTGCAGGCAGTAGAGAAAACGATAAGCCGTAGAATAAACTAAACAAATATTATTATACCTCATTATAAATATTCTAAACAACGCTTTATCTGATTGGTTCTAAGTTATCACGTGATCGGGCCGTAAAACTTCATATTTCCCGGTCGTCGGCACGCTTTTCATCATATTCCACCTCTTCGGAACACCAAGTGTATTTTCCCGCAATATAGTTCTAGTTCGTTGAACGAAAACTTCCGAGAGAAGTATAGACGTCACAATAGCCTGGTTTAAGTCACAAAACTGATGATAATGTGGGTTTTGTAAAAGGGTGAATTTACCATGCATCGGACACATACCTTGCATCGGACAACTTTAGACAATAAATTCTCTTTCAACTTAAGAGTTCCGTGTATTTATTTGTTTCTGTCTTGAAGCTGAAGATTTAATTTTTTTGATGATACTGATTGTTGTTATCATGTTGTGACAAAATACCCCGAAAATTGCCTTGAAGTTACGTCATATTTTACATCATCAAAGGGAAATAACCAGAAATTTATGATTTTGCCATTTCTAGAGTTATCGTTCTTAAAATTCGACTTCAACGGAACGAGTCAGACTTTGATGAATAAAGTCAAAGATTGGTAATTTTACCTAAATTTAAAAAAAATTTCACGTCGATGTTCGTATAATTCTTTTTCGAGCTAGTTCTCACTAGTATGTTCATTTCTCCGTACATCGGACACAAATTAACCATGCATCGGACACTTTCCGATGCAAAGGTAAGCACTACCATTTTCATACAGAACCCAGCTGATAGCTGGTTTTTTGCGTATAAAGAAAATAAAAACTATATTTTCAGTCAAAATACAAGTTATCGATATATGACGTCTGGAATTTGACTCAGTTTATTTCTACAAATCAGAATATGATAAACCATGAAAAAAGGCGCGAATTACCGCATTATAAGCATTTTAAAGCATTTCTATTTTGAATCGTTCTACATTTGTGCAACGATATCGTCAATTAAATATAAGTTGAGGGTTATTTCTTAGATAAAAGATAAAAATATATCCATATCAAGCATTTTAAAGCACTTTGATAAAGATGCATGGTAAACAATGTCCGATCCATGGTGAATTTTGAGTTATTCCTAAAAACTCGATTTTTGAGGATATTTTCTCAATGAAGGGCAAATAATTGTGTCCCAAATTAATATTTTAATCACAAACTAATTGTTAAACTCCATTTTGATAAAAGTGAATTTGAGAGCGGTGCCGAATTTGAAAGTTTATATCTATTTCAAAGGTTTTGCTTGTTTAGGTATGATAAACAATTCATTGCATGAATGTTCGGGAAAAATGAAGACTTATTCTGCCAAGAAATATCATATTCCCCTCGGGCGAAGCCCTCGGGGAATATGATATTTCTTGGCTGAATAAGTCTTCATATTTCCCTCACTATCATGCAATAAATGAATAATATTTATTAAATTAAAAAAATATCAAAGCTAACACACTCTCGCACGCCCTCTCTCACAAAGAAACAAAATTTAACTGAATTGTATAATAGGCAATATTGACAATGAAATAAAGATTTAACTCTAAACATAATCAATTGTCAATAAAACAGATCTTGGTTTCAGAACATAAATAATAACTTTACTTGAAACAATCGAATAGAAAAATCAAAACTGTACAAAGAACGGTAAATGATATATTTATAAACTGTAAAAGTTTTATCTTTATAAAAAACATAGTTATGGAGTATTCTTATGTTAAACTTTTGTGGCCCCACCCTACCCCCCGGGGTCGTAAAAATAATTTTTTGGACAGTCATGTTGATCTTTGGCAAAACCTCAAACAGTTAATTTCGTGTGAAAACTGTTACATTTGACTTTACACCACTGGGCCTTCATACATCGAACACTGTCCCTCTGATTCCAGCCCTGGACTCACAGGTCCCCAGTTGGACAACTTTAAAAGAATTTACTCCATGTTATACAGTCGGAAATGTCATCAAATTTCCATATGGACCGTCCACGTGCACTACGCCCTGCACATGGCCGACTTGTTCGTCCTCTCGGCTCTACACACGACCAAACTCCTTCTTGAATTCCGAAAACCTACTGAAGCCCTGGGTTTATAATCATAACCCCTCTGCACGGCTGGACAAAGAAATGCATATGCAGTAAAAATGAACGACTCCTTGGCTACCCGTTTACATGACTTACTTCTGAAACTTGCCATGGAAAATCGACTACAGGACCAAAATCAAAACGTGGCCGCACACTTGACATCCAGCAACGACTCTCCCTGACCAAACCGGTTACACAAAAAAATAGCCGTATTTGCGAACACTCTCTTTTACGGAGCCAAACTATGGATATAATTACTCGTACATCTAAATACACACAAAATAACAAAACTAATAAAAACTTAATTGAACTTCATCACATACGCCCCCATTTATCACAAAATGTCCATAATTTTAAAATAAATCTCTATGAAGTTGAAACCAAAACGAACTGCCATTTTATTTTCATTTCCTGAGATGTGCGTACGGTGTATTGGTACTCTTGAAGTACTAGACTCCATTGTAAAAAATATCGGATTTTCTGATCTCATCGTCTTTAATCATTGAAGTGCACGGTGGTCGGACTCTATAATAAATTCCTTACCGTGCAAATACTTTCTTAGACATTTAAGAGAATTCAACCCATGCCATGGCATCAGTGTTTCCCAAACACATCTTGTTTGGTCTGTTTTACTACATGTAGCTTGCTCTTTTTCTGACACTAGGTCTGCCATCTTCAATCTTCGACAACTTCTCTCTTGTCTCCTTGATGTAGCTGAGAACAGACGGCTGTGATTGTTTACTTTTATCTTCACCTGCCTCCAATACGAAATCTCAAAAGGTGAAAATACTGTCGATTCCTGTGGCACCTCGATCTCTGTAAGCAAATAGGAGGTATGGTTATAATTTATACCACTTGCTTGACTCATCCTTGGTATAGATCTATACATTGCATCCGTTTTAACTCCCATTAAAACTCTCAACTAGGCCATTGGCTCGAGGATGATAGTGAAGCATATGGAGGTTACGAACAGTATTCAAGATCAAAAATCCATAATAGGAGCAGAGCAAACACGGACCTCTAGAACATTAGAGGTGGGATCAAATGCCATGGAGGAGTGAGCATCCCCTGCCGATCAGTCAGTCAGCATTTGACTCCATGATATATTTTATTTGCTGACAAGGTCATTGTATCGACCATAGAACTTACGAAATGATGACTTTAAACGAGACTGCTGATATTCTTGCTTCACCAACTTGTTTGTAAATAATCTACCTCGTTTTAAAAATTGTGGATACGTACAGCATGCTCTTGTACTTCGAATCAACTGATAGAAAAGTTAAAGTAAACACGATTTTTACAGAGCTTGGTTGTTAGATTACCATTAACTCTTTTTTTTCAGTAAAATATCCAAATATGATACAGATGTGTAAGACTCTGTGGTATCTAGTATCTGAAGCTCACCAGGATATATCGTATGGATATTACCATTGTTAATTGACAATACGTCGTCGATATATCTAAATGTCGAGTTTAAGGCCACAGTAAGTGTTTCCTGACTCCGTAGAGGTATTGCTTCATGGTATCTTGTAGCATATTCGCAGATACCAAGTACAAATTGATAACCTCTTTGGTAACGACCCAAATGTCCTTTCAATTGTTTTTACAATCCTGAGAACCTGGACTGGAGGAACTTTGCTTACCTTGCTTTTAGATTTCCCTTTCTGACACTTACGACAAGACCGACAGTACTGGGTTTCTCTTGGTATTGTCAAAAATCCCCGGCCAGAAAAAAAAATGCTTAAGTATCCTCTCTCTTGTTTTCTTAATGCCAAAAAGGTGCCCTGCCACCGGAATATCATGTCCATTCGGAATTTCGTTGGAAGCACTAATTGCTTTACTATCCCTTCTGTATGTGATCTGAAATTTATTTACAGCATAACTTGCTCAATTGATAGGAAACTTTCCTCTCCCTTTGGAATTCTATTTACTACCTTCTTTTTGTAGGATTCCAATGTAGGATTCTTCTGCTCTCCTTAAACCAATCTTCCTTTGAGAAATCTTTACCAAAGAAGCGCCGAGTGTTCAACACTTCTGGGTCATCATGTCTTTTATTTAATACCGTCCTAGTTACTAGTCACAAGCCCTAGTCACATTTTTCTCTACCTTGATCTTACAAAGCTATCTCCTTGTCAACAGTGATGTCTACACGAGTATAGTTTCCTACAAAAGATCTGAAAACGGTGTATTCGTTACTGAAGCCAGTACCTTACCTGTGGCATAAAGTGTCTCGACTTCAACCTACACTTCAGGACATTTCTCTACACATCCATTTGCAAGAGTCACCCCCTATCGCCCTCTGTTAAATCATCTCTCCTAATCAATTTATCTGCTACCAGAATCGAAGTGCATCCTGTGTCCCTTAACACAGAAGCTTCTTTACCATTCACCTTTCCAGTCTCAATTTTCACTTGTCCCCATATTTCACCTTCCTTGATTCAACAACAACTGGTATCTCTAAATCACATCCCTTCCTTGTCGGCGAGTAAATTAACCCTACTTAACTCTTCGGTAGGTTGCACTGTCTTAGGCTTTTCTACCCATTGTTTCCCCGACCTTAATTAAGTCCTTATCAGTTGATTGACGTAAGGGACAAGTGTTTATAAAAAGTCCAATCCTTTGACACACAAACACCAGATTTTCCAGATTGTTTTGTTGAGTTGGCTTAACCCTATTATCTTTTGAGGTTCTATTGGGTTGCATTCTATTCGTTAATACCACTGAACCACGATGTGGATTATGGTAGGCTTCAGCAAGCTCGATCATTTCTTATTTTCATCTGCTGATTTTGGTTGCCTCTCTTTTAACAACACCTGTTAATCCTTAGATGAACTTTTGGCCATCTGCTCTCTTAAAATCACAACTACCAACACATCAAATCTCTTGTTAACTTTTTCTAATTGGCATACGTGAAATATGTGCTGAAAGTGGTTTAGAGCATGAGTATAACATTCTCTGAAAGTTTCATTTGGGTATTGCTTACAAGTTCTAAACTTATCCTTGTATGTACTAGCTGTCAAATCATACATTTTCAGCATTGCCTTCTTGATGATGTCATAATCATTGGACTCGCATTCCCCCATGTGTGCATATATATCCAACGCCTTACCTGTTAATTTAGGAACTAGTTGCAAAGCCCATTTCTGGTTTCGGCCACTTATGCAGATTTTCCATTCTTTCAAAAGACTTTAGAAATACAATGTACATCAGTATCCTCACCTGTTCGGCTAGTGTGCCTATATTTCTGCTCTTGTTCTTCTAAATCTAATTCCCTCATTTTTACCTGTAACCTCGTTTTTCCATTTCTCTTTCCATAAGCTGTCGTTTCTCCTCCGTATCATTTTCCAGTATCTGTTTTTCTCTTTCGCTTCCTTTTCCATTGCTAATTTCTGCAGTCCCATTCCCTGTCTCTTTACTTCCCTCTGTTCCACCGGTCACGGTACCCTATTGATAGAGCGTTCGCTAAGTGATCGGGAGGCCCTAGGGAAACCTAAGCCGTAAATATAGGTAGTGACTGTTCCTTCGCCAAGCGCTCGGCACTAGAAGTGAAAGTCACGGGTCTTTCGGACATGACCTTAAAAACGTAGGTTCGCATCGCGGTAGGATTTGGCACGATAAAGAACACTTACTGCTCAATGGCCCTGAGTGCCGAGTAAAGGTCCAACTTTGGCATATGATGACGTCTAAATATTAGAAAAAATCTCGAATTGGACGTTAAACAATATAAATCAATCAATCCTGTTCAACACGTTCTTCCTTCTCTCTCAATTGCTGAGGCATGTTTCCAGAAATGCAAACAGACGGATAAATCCTGACCTTTACTGTCTGCCTTCTGAATCCAATTGGGCAACGACCTTGAAAACAGACACAAGGCAACAGAATGTACAAACCGAAAAAAAATCAATTAACTGAAAAGACGAATCACAAAATTGAACGAATTACGATAGATTTTTTCTACAACACACAACATTTCTAACGAATATCTTTTTCTCTATACAGTAATCACCACAAAATCCATCGCTGGACAAAATTACTTAACTCTCAGAGTATGAATCACATGTCTATTTTACCCTGAATTTTCAGCTTTTTTGAAGTTGCTAATTTGATTGTACTAAAATGCCATTGATTTTTTTGCATACCCGGTGTTTTCGTAATAGTAATATTATTAAAAACTATAATTTCAGAATGCTTATATATTCGTGGAGATAAAGTCCCCAAAACACAACTTCCAAAATTTAATACAGTTCAACCGGTTTATGAATGCTATGAGTTTTGTAATGGATCTTTTTTTGCATTATCAGTAAGTATTTTTATAATAAACTTTTCCTTCAAATAATTTCTTTATTTGACTTAGTTAGTTTCCATTTTCCATACTTATAAGTCAATGTCCATTATTTAAAATCATGAACTTTCATGAGCTTCTCTCCGAAGCGTAAAAGTCTCTAAACCTGTTGCGTTATATTTTTATGCCCCCTTAAACGAAGTTTCGGGGGTATATAATTTTAGTCGTGTCAGTCCGTCTGTCTGTCTCTCTGTTTGTCCATCTTTCTGTCCGTCTTTCTATCTGTCTCTCTGTTTGTCCGCAAAACTTTTACCTTGCCCATACCTTTTGATTTAGTAAAGCTATGACTTTCATATTTAATACTTGTATTATTTGTGACAAGACATTTCTTTGGGTACCACCAAATTTGACCTTTTGACCTTGGAGTTTGACTCACTTTTACACAAAAATTTCAAACTTTTACTTTGGCCATATCTTTCGAACAGTAGATACCAGGGCATTTATACTTCACATATGCATTTTTTGTGGCAAGGCCTTTTATTGTATTCCACCAACCTTGACCTTTTGAACTTGACCTCGGAGATTTCCGTACTTATGAAGCTTTAATACTTCACATATGTATTCCCTGTAGAAGACCCTTCATTAGATCCCAATAACCTTGAGCTTCTGACCTAGACCTTGGAGTTTGACCAATTTTTAAAAAACAAACCATGACCAAATCTTTCAAATGGTTAGAGCTAGTGCATTCATACTTTATTTATTTAATTCTTGTGACAAGACTTTTGATATCAAAACCTTTGACCCTTTGGCCTTGACCTTGGAGTTTAACCTCCTTTTTAAAATTTTTAACCTAGGCCATAACATTTGAAGAGTTAGGCCTAGGGCTTCTATACTTCACATATGTATTTTTTGAGGCAAAACTGTTAAGTGGATATCAATAACCTTGACCTTTTGACCCTGACCTTAGAGATTTCCGGACTTATGGAAAAACATTAACTTTGGCAATAACATTTGAATAAATAGGGCTAGGACTTCCATACTTCACATATGTAATACTTGTGGCAAAACATTATTGGATACCGATAACCTTGACCTTGACCTTAGAGATTTCTGGACTTATGAAGAAACATTAACCTTGGCAATAAGGGTTAGGGCTAGGGCATCCATACTTCACATATGTATTTTTTGCTGCATGTCCTTTTATTGGGAACCAATAATCTTGACCTTTTGACTTTGACCATATAAATTTCCGGACTTATGGAAAAACATTAACTTTGCCAATAACTTTTGGATGGTAAGAGCTAGGGCTTTCATACTTCACATATGTCATCCTTGTGACTAGACCTTTCATTGAGTACCAATAACTTTGACCTTCTGATCTTGATCTTGGAGATTGACCTGCTTTTGAAATATTTTTAACCTTGGCCATAACTTTTAAACGGGCTAGGGCTTCCATACTTCATACATGTATTCTTTGTGGCTAGACCTTTCATTGGATACCAGTAATCTTGACCTGACGACTTTGATCTTGAAGAGTTCTGTATTTACGAGAGAAAAAAACTGTAAGCTAGTCATAACTTTGGAACTGATGATGATAGAGCTTTCATATCTTACAATAGTATTTCCAGTTAGGAGACCCTACTTTGGGTACCAATATATTAAATTTGCATTTAAGAAAAGTTTAATCTTCACTATGCTGTCATACGGGGCATCAGTGTTTCACAAACACATCTTGTTTTTTTTTATATAAATGTATGTAGAATCAAAATAAATTTTCGCATAGCAACTTTGAAAAACACGTATCATATAAGATTTGAATATTTCTAACTCCCGTTTTAATTGTAGAAGCAGTTATCTATGATGTCAACATTTTTATGCCCCCGTAAACGAAGTTTCGGGGGTATATAGTATTTGTCGTGTCCGTCCGTCTGTCTGTCTAGCTGTCTATCTGTCTGGGCGTCTGCAAAAATTTTAACCTTGCTCATTACTTTTGATTTAGATGAGCTACGACTTTCATATTTCACATGTGTATTCCCTGTGACAAGACCTTTCATAGTGTACAACCAAATTTGACCTTGACCTTGGAGTTTGACCCACAAAATATCCAAACTTTTACGTTGGCCATAGCTTTTGAACGGTAGTTACCAGGACTTATATGCTTCATAATTATAAAGTATGTATTCTTTATGGCAAGACTTTAATTGGGTATCAATTACCTTGACCTTTTAACCTTGGAAATTTCGTACTTATGAAAAAACTTTAACCTTGACCATAACTTTTGAAAGGTAATGGATAGGGTGAGAAGACCAATTAGTGGGTACCAAGAATTTTGACCATTTGATGAGCAAATGCACTAAAATTTCCATTTATTTATTTTTATTTTTTAATTATTTATTTATTTTACTTTGAAAACAATCTTTAGAAAGATAACTATTTCAGCTTTGAATAGCTTGTGCTTTTCCTTGCATGGATGCTTTTTAAATTGTGAAAGTACTTTTTGAAATGCTAAAATTTAGTTTGTGGCCGATTTGTACCATTACTATTTTATTCCAATTACAGTCAGATCAATGTGCTTGCACAAGTACTGTACAAGAAAATGATGCAGTATGTGATAACCGCTTATTTATGAACACTCAAATGGACTTCTACAGCGCTACCGGCTATTTAGAATACACTACATTGGGTGCAACCAATTTAAAAGGTAGGAATTAGGTTAAGAATATATCTATGGAACGCCAAATTAGATTATTCCAATAATTTTTCTATGTTGTGTTATATTTTTTGGCTTGTCTTTTTTTAAAAGGTAGGTAAGGTTTCGAAAGATTGGCTGACGTATAACTAAAATATATCCACAAAGAATTAAGAATTTGAAGATAGGTACAAATCAATATTGAACTTATGTTTAATTCATTTGCACTTACCTATTTTAAAATCAAATTCATCCTGTCCTAAATTCAATTATACCAGTCTTTAAGTCATTGTACCTATGTGTATATAATTGAAAGTTCATTTCAAATTCATTTAGAATTGAAGATAGTTACAAATGTTAGAAGATACAAAGATTTGTAGGTACAAATATCAAATTTTTTTTTTTTTTCTTTTTGAAAGTCTTTTTCTGTCCGCAAAACATTACTTTTAGAGACAAAGAACTAGTACATGTATGCTGAAATAAGAACACATACTAGCATACATTTACAAATTGTAATACCATATTGTAATGCAATATTTATGGAACTAGAAGAGATGTAGTCTAGTATGATAACCTACGTGTTTTTAGCAGTAGTACTTATCTACAAGCATTAGAATATTGGTATCTTTTATAGGAAGAAATGAACCTAAAGCAGATAATGTTGAGCTATTTATAAGCAACCCCTTAAAACCAAGAAGCGGCGTCTCCATGTAAAACAAATCTATCTCAAAAGGGACGTTAAACAGAAACATTTTATTACATCCCCCCCCAACTTTGAAATTTCGGTTTTTGGTTGCTGTGCTTGTAGAGTCAGTGTAACATTTAACAATTCAAATTTCTCAAATAATTAAGAGTTTTAAAAATTTAATACATTAGTTCAAATTTCTAAATTTCAAAAACTTAAACTGATTTCGTTTATTGAATTTTAATATTTGAGTTCAAAAACTTAAATTTTCAAATTTCCAAAGAGGTTATTGCTTTTGATTGGTCTCCCAATATCGATGGCCATGAGTTTGATACTGAGTACTGTTTGACCGATTTTAACCTCATCCCCCATAAAGGTTATTACAACGTTAACATTTCTAATATGTGACCTTTTTGGACCATTTCCTGCTTGTACTTTGCCATTTCACACAGTATAAATATCTCGTTTAGATTATCGATTCCAGAAATATAAAGCAGCTATATCATGCGCGGTACTAGAGGGACCCCTGGAATTTGCAGAGTAATTATTTAAATATATTTATTAAACCAACTAAAAGCGACCTTGTACCCCACCTCCCCCCCTTTTTTTTTTTTTTTTTAAAAATCCGCGTTTTTTACAGACCTGAGGTCAATTACTTTGAAATGTAATGCATTGAATGACAATTACTTTGGAATTTTTACTATTACAATTACAATTACCATTACTCTCATTCAGAAAAGTAATTAATTAAATCACAATTACTTTTTTAAAGTAATGAATTATATTACACATTACAATTTATAAGAGAAAAACACAGAACGTACTCAATTTATACCTATAAATTAATTTGCACACTTTTTGCTCGATTAATATGCTATCCCTCAGATCTATAAATCAGAGTGGTATTTGGATTTTGGATTCATGTATCATTTTCATGTAATCTACAGTTGACAAAGAAAGTGGATCAAAACACTTTTATTCAATGTTGTAGTTTTCTATAAAAAGAATTATTTAGTTTGTCTATCAATTGCCATTTAATAATATAAAAAAAATTGTAGGATATAGGATTTCATTTTAAGACTATAACATCATTAATAAAAAATAACATCTCAGTGATTTGTTTCAGATTCAAAAATAAAAAGAGACTAATATACAAAATGAGAGCTACAGTGCCACCCATTGAAAAAAATGTATATTTATTACCTCAATTGCAAAAAAGCTAGATTTCAAAAAATTCCCTACTTTGTAATCAAGTTATTTCGTAATTGACATCTGCACGAAGCGCGTTAGACCGAATTATCTTGCAAACAAAAATGACCGTATAAATGGACGAAATTTTCGATCATCTCAATATCAGGGCCGGGGGGGGGGGTATTAACAACAATTATAAGCAATGTTTTGTTGTGGAAACAGAGAAAGAATATGTAAGTATCACACGGTAAGTAATATTTTGATGTGCCAATTTGAAAAAAAAACATGGAGAAATAAATCGAGAAACATCGTACTTTTTTGTGCGCAATAAAAATACAGTTTTTTTCAATGGGTGGCACTGTAGCTCCCCGGTCTGTCAATATATTTTTTTCGGAGAGCTACAGTTCTGCTAGTGAGCTATTTGAACGGATCAAAGGATCTGTTTTAAATCAGATTGACCACCACCACCACAAAATAGGTTTTCACGTTTGGGAAAGGAGTTTACAATTAATTTCGGATTTTGTTGTTGTTGATTTTTATATATTTAGATTCGCGCATTACGAGATGATTTGTGTCAGGATGACTCATCCCCCCCCCCTAAATAATAATTTTTATTAAAACATTACATGGTCATATTATCGAATGAAAATGAATTTTCTTTAAGTTAACGGAACAGGTGACTGTGCGGCCGTGATTTTGGTGAATGGAACAAATATAGGACTGATGCATGAATTTCTTCCCTGCGATAAACAGCTACCTTATTTGTGTAAGTAAAACAATTCATGCATATGCTTCTTTTAAAATAATGTCAACCCGCTTTTGGTGTCTTATTGGTAGGATGTCATTATTTATTTTGACTTATTGTGTCAAATATAAACACCTTATCATATGTCATACAAAAGTAATCACCTAAGTTATTTTCTTCAAAAATTCAAAAAGTTAGAATGAAGGTCAAAGGGTGAAAAATTGTGACCTTGACCTTGAAGTTTGACCTACTTTTCAAAAAATTTAACCTTGGTCATGACTTTGGAATGAGAAGAGATAGGGGTTTCAAATTTGACACGTGCATTACCTGTGACAAGATATTTCCGAGCAGGCTATGATTTCTGAGCCTTATCCTTGACCTTCACCACTAACATTTTTTTTATAAAAAAAATCAGCTTTGGTGATTACTTCTGAATTTCGTATGATAGGGCGTTCATATTTGACTCACTGTCTTTGTGGGTGAGATGTCATCTCACTCACAAAGGCACCAACAGTGAGGGACCACAATTCTTTGAATTTGCTTGTTATTATTAGCTCACCTGAGCCGTTTCCATCATTTAAGCGTTCACGAAGAATGGAGACTTGATCCATTCATGTTCAAATTCGTTTTTTATAGCTCTAGTAAACCCATTTTCCACTAAATATGCTTAACTGTTAATTTTGAAATTATCAAATAATAAGTCGTTCAGTAAAATGAAATGATAAAATGTTTTGAAGATGACATTACTGAGAACATGATTTTAGAAAAACATAACTTTTCTGAATTTTGAAAATTGAGAAATATTTTGTGTCAGAGGATTGTCAACGCCCTCTTTCTTTGTCCAACGTTGTCGTTGTTGTTGTTTCCGTTGGCGTCTTTAACTTATCACATTTTCATCTTCTTCTCAAGAACCACTGGGCCAATTTCAACCAAACTTGCCACAAAGTATCCTTTGGTGAAGACGATTTGAGTTTCTTCAAATGAAGGGCCACACCCTCTTCCAAGGAGAGATGATTATGAATAAGTGATAAATCAATGGTATCATTTAAAAATCTTCTCAAGAACCAGTGGGAAAGGAAAGATAAAACTCGTGTGGATGAATCCTCATATTGTTTAGACTCAAGTTTGTTCAAATCATGACCCCCGGGGGTAGGGTGGGGCCACAATGGGAGATCAAAGTTTAACATAATAATACATAGGAAAAATCTTTTCCCCAAGAACCACTGGACCAGGAAAGATGAAACTCGTGTACAAGCATCCTCTGGTAGTGAAGTTTCAAATTTATTAAAATCATATGACCCCCGGGGGTAGAGTGGGGCCACAATGGGGTATCAAAGTTTAACATAGGAATATAAGGAGAAATCTTTAAAAATCTTTTTCTCAAAGACAGCAAAGCTGATTGGTTATAGTTATATTGATCTTCTGAAAGTTTAAATCTTTAAAAATCTTCTTCTCAAGAACAGCAAAGCCATGATTGGTCATAGTTTTATGGAAGCAGCCTCTGGAAGTGTTGATTCAATTTTGTTCAAATCATGACCCCTGGGTCAAGGATGGGCCATTATAGGTGATCAAAGTAGGATCCTTCTTAAGGACAGGGAAGCTGTGATTGGACGTAGTTATATGGAAGTATCCTCAGCTAGTGTAGATTCAAGTCAGTTCAAATCATAAATCCTGGGGGTAGAGTTGGGCCACAATGGGTGATCAAGGTTTTAAGTAGGAATACATGGGAAAAATTAAATTCTTTTCACAAAGACATGATTGATCAATTTAAAAGCATCAAAAAGGGTAATGTGTATTTAAATTTGTTCAAATCATGACCAATCAGAAGAATAGAGGCGCCATTAAAGTGGACCTTAAAAATAACAAAGGAATATGAAAGCTATATTAATAAAATTTTGCTTTTTTCTTATACCTGGCTAGTTGCTCAGGTGAGCAATGTGGCCCCTGGGCATCTTGTTATAATGGTTACGTCAAGATACGCTTTTATGATAGTCATTGATGCAGACATTCTAATGAAATTTTTACTCAGCGACATTTTCCTGACAACTGTTTTAACCTTGGAAAAGGCAGAGTGTATATTGTATGCTTTGCAAAATTATAATAAGCTTCGATGATAATCATTCTTTGTGTGGAAAAACGATTTAGTGAACATTAACTTTTGTAGGCCAAAGCAATACAGCTGAGATTCGTATTAATGCTATCCTGCATAAAGAAGATAAAAATTGGACTGAAGCTGTAAAAAGTTGTAGTATTAATGAAAATATTGTGAGGGGTTCCTTTGATGGTTATTACGCCCTCAAAGATCCTCCTATAAGTACCATAATGGCATGGACAGGAATATCAAGACGAATTATTAATCATTGGAGTAGCGGTATTATTGGTATAGCCACATTTACTAATTAAAATTATTTGTGCTCAAATTTTATTGTCAGCATTATCTGAGTTCTTCAATCTTGCAGATCTTTTATCTCTGCAAAGATGATATTTGATTTCTTTATATCTAGAAAGTTTAAATATAAAATTGGACTTGCTCGAAGTCGTCATTGGTTTTGCCTTGATGAAAGAGCAAGTTCCACTTAGGGCCTTTCTGGGCCCTATTAATTTCTGCAAATCAAATCTACTGTTTTGGTTGACAATGCAGTGTCATTTATCACTTGTATGGCACGCCAATTTCACAAAAATTAGTTAAACATACCGGTAGTTTACAGTTGATAAACTAGGTTTATCGACTGTAGTTTACGAACCGTGAACCAAAGTTAACAATTCGTTAACATATAGTTTTCATCTATAAAACTATATTTAACAGTTGTAAACTATAGTTTACGAATGCTAATCTACGTTTATCTGTTTTTATGAATAAATTTTAAATTAGAATTTCCTATAGTATTTGAAGACATGGTAGTATGATAATTTAAGCTTACAACATATTCTTTTCTATTTTATTTACATCCCTTCAAAATAATCACCCTTTACTTCAAAACATCTCTGAAGTCATGTTATCTAGCTTTCGACACATTTTCCGTAAATTTTCAAAAGTTTTCTAGAAATTTGCAATATACTTATACTTAGAGAGATATCTCTTTTACTTAGTGAGATATCTCTTTTTTAAGAGAGATATCTCTTCCACTTAAACAGAAATCTATTTCTCCTTGGGAAATATATCTTTCCCGAAAAGAGTTTATCCTATACCAGTTTTCTCTCTAAGGTATAAAGATATCTCTTTTAGTCAAAGAGATATTTCTTTTAGTTAAAGAGATGCCTCTATAAGCTAAAGAGATATCTTTCTATGCTAATGAGATATCTCTCTTATTGAAAGATTTTATTAATTTCACGAATAAGTAGTAGAAGGGCTTGCCATAAAATGTCCGTATTCAAGTTCTTTTTTTTTTTTTCAATTTTCAGTTACTAGTTTTTATCATAATTATCATTTTTTGGTTGTTATTCAGTAATTTCGTTTTTTCCTTATTTTTTTTTATATTCGTTTTTATTTTGTATTTTCTTGTATAATTTTGTGTGTTTTTTTACATTTTCGATTTTATTAATAACTTTTTAAAAATCTTTCTTTTATATAGTATATTTTCGTTTTTTTTTAAATTTAATTTTGGTTTGCAGAATTGGGCTTCCATGTTTAACTAAATAATGATAAGCTTTAACATTTTGTAGATACCACAGATTCATACGACTGCTTAGCGGTAAGCAAAGACTCAGAAAACAGCACCGTACAAATTCATGCCAAAAACTGCAGTGATTTACTTCCTGATCTGTGTGAACGATCCGGTAATACTTGTGAGATGTTCAAATTTGTTTACCATGTATGAGAGTCAATGTTTGATAAAATAAATGTTTTTAAACAAATTTTCCTATTAAAATTTATTCTGTTTCAAGTAAAATCACTTTCTTAATTACACCTAAAAACTCATTGACAGAGGTTTTTATTTACATTTTGTAACGTTGCTTGTAAAGATTCTGCACATTTTACTTACTGTTTGCGAAAGCTGCAGAACAGTGGCTCTCCGAAAAAAAATTATTGACAGACCAAAGAGCTACAGTACCACACATTGAAAAAAAATGTATATTTATTGCGCTCAAAAGGTTCGCTGTTGGTCGATGTATTTCTCCAGTTTCAAAAACATTTAGCTTCAAATATTTTTTACATACTTTTCACAATTAAACATTCCTTATACAAGTAGCTAATATTATTACATGTAGCCCACCAGTCCAGAATTGACGCCATCGAAATTTCGCCTAATCATACTGCAATTTTAGTTTCCAAGATAATTCGGTCCAACGCGCTTCTTGCAGAT